CCCCCCCCCCCCTGTGCAGAACTGCCGCGTCAGCCATCCATGCATGCATCCATCCATCCACACAGACAGACACGCATAGGAATTGACCTAGGCACTTCACCCGACAGTCATCTGCACAACCAATTGGTTAATTGGCACGCAGACATGGTGGCATGGAAAGGAAGGAGCTACCGGCCAACAGACAGATGTGGAATGTCTGTCTGTCTGTCTGTCTGTGCTTAGCTTAAGGGGAACGGAGGGGAGAGAAGAGAAAAGAAAAGAGAAAAGCAGTCATAGGTGTGTGGACGAGTGTGGACGGACGATGGGTGTGGACGATGTGTGTGTGTGAAAACCGGCCATCGACACCAAAAATGTGGGGAGGAGATACAGGGGGCAGCCAGCCAGCCGGACGCGGGAAGAGAGAAGAGGTCAGCCAGAGGGACGACGGCCACACACACACACACACTCATGGATGTTATGTACAGGTGAGCACGTGTGTGTATGTGTGTATCTGCGGAGATGGCTGTCGGCAAAATCGCCGCTACGCCCCACCTGTGTGTATCTGTCTGTGTGTGCGGCACATAAGAGAGGGAGAGAAAAGAGGCGAGAGCGAGAGTAAGTCCGCCGGCCGATCGTTCAGAAAGGCCTTCTCGGGCGCCAGGAACTCTATGCCGCAGGAACTGTGTGACGCCCGCCGATATGCACACTGTTTCTCTCACTCAATGCAACTAAATACGTTCATCATTCCATCTGTCTGTGTGTCTGTTGTCTGTCTGTTCAAACAGACAGATGGACAGACAGACCATCCCTGTGTCTGTCTGTCCATCTCACTTGAATCAAACCACCGTGTGTGTGTATGCCTTGCAAGCTGTGTCTGCCCATCTGTCTGTCCTCTCTCGACCCACACACACCTCACCGGTCTGGTCGGCCAATGCACATGAGGGGGGGCAATCGGAGGGGAGGGGAGGGGACAGCAGCACCACAGAAAGGGACGGACGAGCGAGCCAGCCGAAAGAAGAGACACACTGGTGTGTACAAACACGCGGACATTAGCAAGAGGCAGACCATCCATCCATCCATCCATCCATCAGCGAGTACCACAGCAGACAGCACACCGCATGAGAGGAAGTCCCCACCCGCCCCCCTCTTTCTGCCTATCGCCCACACATCCGTCGAGAGAGAATACGTCGGGCAGATCGCTTCAACGCCAACACCGCCGCCCAGCTTGACACACACATGGAAAGACAGACACAGACACCATTGCGTAAGTCGTGAGCGCATCTTCTGCTCGTCTCAGTCGTGTTTGGTGCAGACATACCTCAGCTGTCTATTGGTCGAAGATCCTGGCTGAGATGATGGGCCCCAGCACCACACGCGCTAGCTGAGTGGTCACCGGGAAGCGGTCCTTGAAGGCACCACCCACAGCCGGCTCGGTCGTAGTGATGCGCACATACACTGTAAACAGATGACAAAAGAGCACAGAGATGAGAGTGTATGCATGTATGGTATGCCGTGCTGGGCTGACCGGTGTTGGGGTCCTCCGAGATGGCAATCCATGCGACGAACGTGTGGCTGCTGTTGGTCAGGATGAGATGACGAGAAGTGAGGCCGGTAGCGTAGCGGAATGATGTGGTGGTGGTGCATCCCCCCACACACCAGTGTCAGCAGGTTGAGCAGCCGGATGTTGCCGGCATGCCTGACCAATGAAGACGCACATAACACACACTCGTGCGTCGACGACACCCACACAGAGTGATGCCCGGCCTGACCTATTGATAGCACGGGTAGTTCTGGGGTTCTGGTGAGTCCTGTTGAAGTGGCCGATGACAATGGTCTTGACAAACGATGACATAACGAATGGTCCGGGGGATTCGCCAGCGACCGCCATCCCGCGGGGGGGGAGAAGTCGATCCTGCTGCGGACTGGAGGGTCATGCTGCTGTCGGTGCTGTTGGTAGAGGTGGCCGGGAGGGAGGGGCGGGATGCTGTCGATCTCGAAGCCGTCCTGGTCTTGGATGGCCCGCAGTGTGGTGCCGTGCTGGAACAGCGCGAAGGTCACGCCGTCGCCCAAGTGGATGTGGGGGCCGACCACCTTGAGCTGAGCCAACACACGGGGAGCGGCCAAATACGCCTGCACACACAACACATCAACACACCACACACCGATTGAGGGCCATCCTTTCACCCTACCTCTCTCGGTTGGCTTGGCTTACCGTCTTGTTTGGGTATCGGTGCAGATCGGCCGTAGTGAGCCTCACAGGCAGCTGGCAGCTGCCGCACTGCCCTGCCAGCTCGATCACCTCGCTCATCTCACTCCAGCCGCCCGCCTCCGTCACGCACAGCGCCGCCAGCAGCCCACCCTCGCCCATCTGCTGGTCGTCGAAGGTCAGCAGCTGCTGTCCGTTGGCCGTCCGCCGCAGCCCCGCCTGTGTGCTCAGCGAGTGGCTGAGCCGCTGCCGCAGCTGAGGCGCTCCGAAGAGGCCTCTGGCCCATTTGCAGGTCTTCCTCAGACGCAGGATGTCATTGAGGCTGAGCAGGTAAAATGTGCGGCGGCCGACGAAGATGTACTCGATGTGATGCTGCTGCTGCTGGTTGGGCTGCTGGTGGGGCTGCAGATCTGCCGACCGTGAGCTGCCGCCCCCCTCATGCTGCTGCTGTGACTCTGCCGCAGCACCACCCGCACCAACCGAGCCACCTGAAGGCACCACACAGCACAGGAAGGTCATGACAATGGGCAGTCCACCAACAGCAGCCGATGCTTTGTGTACCTTCGCTATGCCCCCCCCCACCACCACCACCACCAGCAGTATGGCTGATGTCTACGCGTCTACGCTTCTTGGCGCCGGCGTCATCAGCAGGCACCTGACCAGCGACACACATCAATGAGTTTGTCTGTCTGTGTGTCTGTGTGGGTGTGGACTTGTGCGCACCGCGTTGCTACGCTGTTTGTTGCTGTCGGTCTCCTTCGGCCCCACAGCGCCGCCCGCCCCCCCCCTGAGCCGCCCCGCCGTCGACATCCATTCGCTAACATAAACACACACACACACACACACACATAGAGGAGTGACCGGCTTGTGTGTGCCATCCAGTGGTCGGTGGAGCCTTACGCATTTGTTGTGGTTAGTGGGCGTCTGTGTCAGCTCATTGCTGAGGGCCGAGTGGGCGTCGGTAAGATTCGTCAGAAGACCCAACAGCCGGCGGCCAGCCGCCGACGCACAAACCTGTCAACGGCAACAAACACGACAGAGAGAGAGAGAGAGTGATGCGGCACTCGTGCAGGCGGACGTGTGTGTCATGTTGGCTGCGTTGGATCAGCTCCCTCGCCCGCCGAGCCGGCGTGGCCATCTGACATGCGATCTGAAGGCAAACAAACAAACAAACAAACAAACAGACAGGCAACACACTGAGTGAATGAATGGCCGGTCTGACGCCTCCCTCCCTCCCTCCCTCACCGATTGGATCTGATCTATGACATCTCGCAAGCTATCGTCCGACAGGTCGCCCCGCCCACCTGCACCACACACACCATCACCCCCCACACATACATGACAGCCGTGTGTGTCCATTGTGTGCGTCATCGCCCGCCTCTCGAGGGAGCCGGGACGTCGTGGCTACTGTCCATCTGACGAACACGGTCAACCATTTGCACCAAGGAAGCAGCCACACAGCGAGATGGGATGCAGTCATCAGTGTGCCTGTCCTCTCAGTCTGCCGACTCACTGCTCAGTGTGTGAGTTTTGGCGTCAGCCGTCGAGTTGATCCTGACGCCAGCCATCAAGACGCAAGCCTCTCACTCAGCCCGTCACCGTTGTCAGATCTGAAAGCACACACATCGCACAGCCACGCAGGGAGGGAAGGGAATGTGTTGCCTGTCGTTTCTATCTGTCATGCATCATCTGCCTGTCTGCCTGCCTCCCTCAGTTGGCCTCGCTGATGGGAAGGCTTAGCGCCTCGGCTCAGGGAGTGAATGGGTGGGCCGAGAGGTCTTTTGGTCTCACCGATGGTGACGAGAGGAAGTGTGGAGGCAGCAACAAGCCGTCATCGGACGAAAAGGAATGCGAGCTGGATGGATGCGATCCGATTAAAGGCGATGTCCTGGCGGCGATGTAAAGAGAGAGAGAAAGATGTCTCTCTTTTTGCCGGTGGCCATCATACGCTGGAGGAAGCAGTGGTGGACCTCTTGCGCTCCGAACGAGCTGCCCAGTGGGCCCCAACATGGCCATGGGGCCGCTTTCCCATCGGTTCGAACGACGATGTGTGCCTTTGGTACCGCATGAGCCGTGAGAAGCCGCACAAGAGCGTTCCCAGAGCACCATCGTCATTATCGCATTCATCGGCGCATTTCCGTGTGGTCGTGCCAACCTCACAAACACGATGGTCGCCTCATTCTCGCACCGCAAGAAGAGAAGAAGGAGAGTGTCGCTATTGGCCATCGTGCTGGGCTTGTTCTTCACTGCAACACATGGAGCATTGTGGTCCTTCTTCACCGACAACAAGGTACCACATGCAGATCAAGGCACTCATTGATCCACTGCAATGGACGAGGAACGTGACAATCCCTGTTTGTGTCAGGCCCTCGACTCGACCGCTCCATCGCCCACAGCAGGCCGCCCGCCAGTGTCATTCGCCCAGCTCCATGGCGGCGAATCGCACCATCGCACGCTGCACGAGCAGCTTGTTGAGAACACGGACGACTCCGCAGCGCATGTCGGGCCGGAGTTCAGTAACCTGGTGGACTGGGTGCAGGGCGGCAAGGCGGCTGAGGGGCATGCTGCAGAGGCACCGACGAGTCGGAAGCTGAATGCAACGCAAAGGGCAGAGGAGAAGGGGGAGGGGGAGAGGGAGTGGGCTGAATGGGAGGAGTACGTGAAGCTGAGATCTGCCTGCTGGGACGGTGAGTGCACGGCTGGCTGGCTGGCACAGACGCCAGATGGATGAGATGCGTCCCTGTCTGTCTGCAACTCCAGGTGATTTGTGTCCCAAGTTGTTGACCATTCCGTGTGAGGGGCTGGTGGGCGTCTATTCGGCCTACCACTTTTCTATAGCGACGTCCAAGTGGCCCTATGGTGACCTCGTGACTTCCTGGAATGACCTCAGGGGGTGAGCGGGCGCAATGCATGAGCAGCGGGCGTACTGACAGCATTCGTTACGATGGGTTCATGGCTTGACTTGTTTGTGCGCCAGGTCCAAATGCAAGAAATGGTTTGGCGAGTTCACGCAGCCGATCTCAACTCGTGCACCGACATTCGACCGGTGAGGACATCAGAGGCAGCGACACAGCGGTGCTCTTGTGTTTCGCTGCTGTGTGTGCTGTGCAGCGAGAAGAGTTCTCTGTTCTTTTCGAGTGACAAGCAGTGGATGACGACAGACTTCAGCCACCCGTTCTTCTCCAAGGGCGATGCCACCATCATGCTGCACGTCAAGTGGCCGCCTCAAGTCAAGGCGGAGGCCATCGCCGCTGGCACACAAAAGGAGACGGCGGAAGGGGAAGAGGGAGAGGGAGGTGAGGGGGAGGAGAAGAAGGCTCCCGTTGAGGTGCTCTTCAGCTACACTGGCGGGCCCTACTCGGCCATCCTCGAGGGACAGCTCACACGCGACATCAACCAGCCCCTGTAAGCTGCCGGCCTACGTCCACAATGTGGCAACGATGCAACCCAGACCCGTCACCATTTGCGTTGTTGGAATGGAATGTAGGGGGCACTTCGCATTGGCAGAGGGCCAGCGCACAGTCTTGGGTGGGGGCCACGATCAGATCTCGGAGGTGTCTTTGGAGTCGCTGGAGGACACACCCGAGGCATTTTGGTCGCCCCTGCTCATGCTCGAGAAAAACGAGACAGCCACCGAGGCCGATGATTCGATGCCGCTTGGTCACATCGATGTGGCGTCACCCAACTCACCAGGGAGTGCGGCGGTGCTGGGCGAGTGGGAAGTGTGGACCATACGCAGGAAGGCCTACACCACGCAACTCTTCAAGTCAACAAGCAAGACAAGAGCCACACGCAGCCGGCTTTGGAGAATGAACATGTGTGTGCGTGTGTCAGGGATGGCCGTCTGGTGCAGACCGCGCCAGCTGACATGAAGTGGCTGGACCCTGCAGCGGGCGAGAAGGGTTTCCTGGACATTGGGTGTCGTGTGAGGGGCGGGGACATGCAGACGGGATACGGGGAGATCAATCCCGGCACACACGTCGACCAGGACAGCCAACCCTCACACTGCATGCCAGGTCAGGTCATAGACAGACAGACAGACAGACAGAGACGAGGATAGTGACTGACACACCATCGATGCACTCACGTGGGTGCGGTGTGCGTGTCAGGTCTGCGGCTGCGGAGTTTGCTGTTGTACGAGCGTGCACTGAGTGGCAGGGAGATCCATGAGATCACAACCCTCATGTACCGGCAGCCGCAAGACCCATTCACTCTCCTGAGAGTTGGTCAGCCACCCCACCCTACAGACACAGACACCTCCGCTTTCCTGACTGACACTGAACCCTCCCCGATTTGTTGGCTGGTTGCAATGCACCAGTTGACTGCGGTGTTCCACCGACTCCGGTGAACGGCATCGTCGAGTTTGATGACACCACGGAGGGCGCCAGGGCGGCCTTCAAGTGCACGACCCCCGGCACATCCTGGCCCAAGGGCGTGCCGGACCGTTCTATCTGCATGGATGACGGCCGTTGGAAGTACTTTCCCAGGTTTGAGGACCTCCCCAAGTGCACCGAGATCCAGCACCCCTGCGACATGCCGCGGCACCGTGCGGCTCGTGAGGGCGAGGTCAAGGCCCACATGCACTTCACCGACATGCAGTTCGAGGCGGGCGACGACATCGTGTTTGAGTGCCCCAACCACACGGCACTCGTGGGCGACAAGAGGATCACCTGCTCGGGAGACACCGGCAAATTCAGACGCAAATTCCCCATCTGCAAGGGTGGGTGACGGAGGGACACACGAAGAGCACTGTGTGCTGACTGTCGCAAGTATCATCTGGATGTATGTGCGGCAGGGATGTGTCCGACCGATGAGATAGGGCGGCGGAAACACCTACAGGCCCGATTCTCGAAGCAGCAGGTCATCATGGACACCAAGCTCTTCTTCCACTGCCCCAGCGGCCTCAAGATGGAGGCACCCGAATCAGCCGTCCTCACCTGTGTAGGGTCCACCGTGCAGCCGGCCAAGGAGGAGGCGGCCAGCACTAACACTTCTGACCTGGGACTGCTCACAGCTTTTGGTATGGGAGAAGGAGGAGAGGCCGAAGAGGAGGAAGAGGTCTCGCCCAGCCATCGGTTCTATGACATTAAGAAGCAAGAGGCGACAATCCCACGATGCGGTCAGTCTCGAAGGAATACGAAGGTGTACGGGAAGAAATATTAGTCTCTGTGTGTGTGTGTGTGTAGTGTCACTGACGGGCAAGTGTCCGGAGCCGCCCGATGCCGAGGATCCAGGCCTCGACAAGAACTTCACCAAACCTCGTGTGGCCGCCAACAGCACACTGGATATCCGCACATCAGTGACATTCGAGTGCGACACGAACTGGGTGCTCTACGGCCACTCGACGCTCGACTGTCTCGAGGACGGATCATACAGCGGCAAACTGCCCGTCTGCGTATACTGTAAGCTAATCGAGACACAAGCCACCCACACACATACACCAATGGCCTTGACGGGGTGGTCATTGTGTGTCAGCTCCTCCTATCGAGTGTCCCGTGCCGGAGCTGCCCGGCGGCCACTGGGAGCTCCGCAACAGCACGATAGTGCATCCCGGCACTATTGTAGACGAGGGCGTGCAGCTCATCGGCTGGTGCGACGAGGGGCTCTTCCTCTTCCCCACCAAACACGCCGGACTTGTGACTTGCCATGAGTCGGGGGCACTCGTGCCCGACGCACATATGCTCAAATGCGAAGACAGAGACCTCACTGACGAAGGTCAGTAAGGCCGCCGAGTCAGGGGGACGGGCATGCATGAGAAATCTGTTCGTGTGTGGTGGAATGAATGTGTGCAGAGATTTTGGCTCTGGTGCGGAATGCCAAGGGACCGTGTGGCGGTCTGAAGCATCTGGATAACGTCAGGACAGTCACGCCAGCACGACAGCGGTACCGCTTTGGCGACGTTGTCGAGCCCACATGCAAAGACGGATACGTGCTGGTGAGACAGAAAGCAAGGTGACCATGGTGGGACAGACGTGTAAATGGCGCCTGCTCCGGTGTGTCACGTCAGACGGGCGCTCCTCTGTTCCACTGCGACGAGCTGCCCAGCCGAGGGCGGTCAGACATGCCTACCGGCCGCTGGGAGCCATCAGACGACGCCACTCGACCCACATGCCTGCGTACACAAGAAAGAAGCAAACGAGACTTACCACTGTCGGCACGTGCCTTTCGTTTGCGCTCCTCTTTTTGTCGTTCAGCATCGTGTCCCGCTCCCCCGGGTGTTAATGGGTGGCATTACGTTGTGGAGGGCCCGCATTCGTACGAGGGGTTTGCTGCCGGGGCCAGGGTGGCCCTGTGCTGCAGTGGCATGTTCGAACCCACTGAAGACACACTCGTGTGCCGCGACGACGGGGGATGGGAGGGCACCCCTCCACAGTGCCAGCCCACAGGTACTCATCGTACTTCCAGCACACATCCACCAGCCGCATGGCCAATCCTGTCTGTGTGTATGTGCGTGTATGTCCAACCGTCAGATGTGTTCAATCCGTTCACCCATTTGCCGACCTGGGCCACGCGTAACCTTAGGGGCGTGTATGTGGCCGACGAGCAGCACATGGACCTGGTGCCCCAGGCGCCGGGCATAGGACGGGTACAAAAGTGGCGATCCATGAGCTGTGGCGGCTTCGGGCCACTCGACACTCCTGTCGACTGCTCGGCCAGCCCGGGAGATTGCCCGTCATTCAACAGGTACACATACAAGTCACTGATTTGTCGTCACCTGCCCGCTTGACCTCTGTGTGTGGTCGAACGGACCTCTCAGGGCAAAAGGGCGCTTCGTCCATTTCCATGGCGACCAGTACCTTCGATCGCGGTACGTCCGCCCGTTCGGCCCGCATGGAGGGCTGATATACGTGGCCACCCGTCCGAGGGAGTTGCCGGCCCCCGGGGAGGTGTCGGATGTGACGAGTGCCAACGAGACTGAGAACATCCCACCTGAACCCGGCACTTTGGCTGAGTTTGTGGCGGGTGACAAACGTGACACTGGCGTGCAAGTTGGGTGGGAAAGAGCCATCGAAATGAGCAAGGGGTCGGTAGATCCGCCATATATGCCACTCGCCATGTGGAGGAACCAGACCGCAGGTGAGTCTTGAGGAGACACGTGCACGTTGAGTCCAGTTGGTTGCCATCTTTGTTTTGCTGCCTCCCTGCAGGTCTGCAGGGAGCCAGGGTGCTCAACATGACCACAAAAGGTATCCTATGACCGTACCTGCATATGCAAACAAGAGCGCATTGGTTGTGTGTGCAGTCGGTTGTCATTTCGACGGGATGTGTTTCCACGGCATCGAGCTTCGCCGCCCGCTCCGTCGCAATGTCCACCACGCAAACATGACCGGCACACTCAACATATCCGAGCCCTTCATCCACTTCTACTCGTTCAACCTATCGGGGAAGCACACAGACCTGCCGTTCGTCGGCAGCTTCCCGGGTCTGGGCGGTGTCTCCATGCGTCACTTCGGTCCCGCCAAGCTGTATCTTGGTGGCGATCCGCCCGTCCCGCCTTCGCCTCCCCCGCCCCCTCCGCCGCCCGCCGATGCGCAGCCGCCGAGCGAGGACGAGGAGAGGGAGAAATACCTTCAGGACGACCTTCAGAAGAAGAAGGACCAGGAGAGGGGCGAAGAGGAGGACCCGCTCATGAGGATCCTCAGGGAGATCGCGGCGACAGGGCCATCACTGCTGCAGACGGGAGAAAGAGCGGACGCCACGCAATCTCTGGGACCCGGCACTGCCTCGCCTGTCACACGTAAGCAATGAATGATGCATGAATGTCTTGAGACATTCGGGTTTGTGGTGTCGGACCGTCATGTGGGGTGGCTGCAGGTGATGTTCGCCTCTTTGCCGTGTTCGATCGCCCCTTTGCCAACCCAAAGCTGACGGACCTCTTTGCCGCCCTCTTCAGTTTTATCCTTCGAGGCCTTGACAGTGAGCAACAAAAGCAAGCAAACAGAGAAACAAGCAAACAAAAACGCTCGTTTGTCTGTGTGTGTCCCGCCAGCTCGCGAGTTCGCCGACACGATGAAGGAGATCCTGGACGCCATGCAGCAACCTGGTAGACAGACCTCTTCCCCCACACTCCACTCTATCCGCACTTGCCTGGCTGTGTGTTCTGCCCTCCTTCTTTCCGCCTCTCGCAGAGAATGTGACTGAGCGGCCGGCCCGTGAGGGCATCAATCTGGGCGTCCACCGTGCATTGCGTGACGGCGAGCTGACGGTGCCTCTGCCAGATGACGTGGACACTCAGACGATACTGGCGTTCAGCCTCAAAGACCTCAACATCACCAACAAGACCGCATTCCAAACAGATGAGGTCAGCTGCCCGCGGGCCAACCTACAGGCAGACACACACATACACATACAGTGTCTCACCTATCTGCCTGACTGTCTGTCTCTTTGTTTGTTTGTTGGTTGGTTGGTTGGTTTGCTTGTTTGTTTGTTTGTTTGTTTCTTCGTTTATGTGTGTGTGTGTGTGTGTGTCTCTCTGTCGACGCAGTACGATGTGTGGCGGTCAGAGACAGCAGCCGAGACGGAGCGTGTAGCGGTGTTGCGTCACGAGGACATCAAGGCAGGCCACGACTACGACACCACTATGCTCTTCAAGCCAGGCAGCGCCTCGCCTGAGATGGGTGCTAACGGCACCGCCAATGTGACAGCGACGCAGGACGGCGAGCTGACGATGCTGTGGTCGTCCAACATTTCGCCGGACAGCGTCGTCGGCTTCAACTTGAGCCGCAAGGCTGATGGTGCTGCCGCGGAGGAGTTCCCCTGCTATGATGTAGGTGACGCCTGATCGCCAGCCAGCCAGCCAACAGTGGGGTGTGTGTGTCTCTTTCAATATGAGTTTTTTGAGATGGACGACATGTTGATGGTGACGATCAAGCATCCCAGCATCGAGGCCTACACTGCATACAGAGTGGAGATACTGGAAAAGGAGGTGGACCTGGGAACCGTTACCAGCGAAGTGATGGCGGGCATCATCAAGAAGGAGGTGCCACCCTGGGTGGACTCTAGCCTCATCGTAGGCTTCAACATCACAGCCGTCGTGGGCAAAGCAAACTTCATGGCCGCAATGGTACGTGGGTGTATACATACAGGCACATATACGCACGGCAGTACGTCTCTGCGTGTTTCTCGCTGTCTCTCTTCGTTCCATGTCTGCAGTTCACCTTTGTCGATGAAAACGGCACTCGATGGGCTCATCTGCTGGACAGTCGCATCAAGGCCAACACCGACTATCGGGTCTCGGTGGTCCGCAAACTAGTACACGAACTGGTGCCGCCCATGGAGCACGACCGTGATGCCGAGAAGAAAGCCGAGGAGCTCTTGAAGAACCTGTCGGATACGGTCAAGGACGAGCTGGGTGGTGGTGAAGAGGCCAGGGACGTGCTTGAGGAGGAAATTCCCAAGCAGCCGGAAGGAGTGCTGAGGGCGCTGCTGCCGCCCCACGTCAACCCGAAAAGCATTAAAGCCATCCTGCTCACACCGACTGATGAAGGGGAAGGCGCCGAGACGATCCGTGTCGTCCCTGTACGCATTCATTCATGCATGCCAAATGCGCTGATCCAACAATTGCACCAATCCGTTTTGTATGTGTGTGTCCCTCAGACGTCATTCGAGGTAACACTCGACGGCAAGACATACGTCATCCTCCACGACGAGCGGCTGGACGCCGACGGCAGCTACACCGCGCGGATCATATACAAGACAGAGGAAGAGGAGAATAAGGAGGCCCTCAATGAAGTGCTCGGGCAGCCCATGGTCCCCGCTGAGAACGGTGTCGTCCGCATCACATTGCCTCCCCACTTCGATGTCAAGCGAATCGTCGCTGTGGGCCTCGATCCCGAGAGCCTGGACCCATCATTCAACGCCACAAAGGTGCGACATGATACATCTGACACAGCAGCGGAGGCAAGACATTGCCTTTATTGGTTTGCAGATGAATACAACGAGAGAGAGTTTTGAGCTTCTCCTTCTGCTGGAGCAAGGCCGTGGGCACCGCACGTCGAAGGCCACAGTGGCGCCAGTGGTGCTGGTCCTGGAAGACCCGCGCATCTTCAAGGGCACGAAATACAAGGCCACGCCATACCTCACCGCAATCCCCCTCCTGCGAGAGCCAGACCACCGTCCACGGCCGAAAAAGCCCACGGGCCCCATCGAGTACAGGGACGAGTTGGCGTCGAAGGCTGTGGGTCAGGACGGCAAGCTGGTGGTGGCCAAGAAGCCTTTGCTTAAGGGCAGGGAGGAGGAGATTGTGGAGTGGGAGGTGGTGGAGCTGGACGCGGGTGACGTGCCGGTGGTGATGCAGCTGCTGATGGTCAAGGACTTCACCTACAACAAGGAGGAGTTCACCCTTTTCCACCCGCGCATCAAGAGTGGCCAGTCATACCGGGCGCTGCCCGGCCTGCCGCTCACGGTGGTCACTGACCTGGGGCTGCACAGCATCAGCGGCACCAACGACACCAGGATACGTTTGCCGCCCAACCTGCACGTCACGCCACCAGAGGACTTCAAGCACGTGACTGTCATCCCGTCCGAGCCCGGCATCGACCCATCCATCATGCACAATGACAGCGTAAGAACACAAATACTTGAGGCAGTGGCAGTGGCAGTGGCAGAAGACAGAGACAAGACTCGGCTGAACTCTCGGTGTGATTTGTTGCCCTTTGCCTGTGTGTGCAGTTCTATAAGGCTTTGTGGGATCTACTGATCCGGCCTGGTGTGGTGCCTGAAGGTGAGTATCGCGTGCTGGTGGACAGCATTCCGCCACTGCCGCCACTGAAGGAGAAGGCCCCAGTCGAGATCCCGCCCTTCTGCCGCACCCTCATCACACACATCATATGTAGGCGTGGATGCGAAGGGACAGCGAGATGCGAGATATGGGGGATTTTGGTGTTTCTGCTAATGACGCGTGTAACTCTCATTCATTTAGGTGTGGGTCGTCCGGACATGACGCCTGGCAAGTCTGTGAGGCTGCAGCTGCCGGATGATGTCGAAATGTCGCCGCTCCGCACCGTCACTGTCGCACCGCAGAACGCCTCCGCGTCATTTGACCTCACAAAGGACGAGGCTCGCCCACACAATTTGATGCTGCTTCTGTCAATGTATTGTGTCTCCGCCTTTCGTTCAGTATGAGCGTCAAAACACAACGGTCGTCATCTACACCGGCCGCGTATCCCCTGGTGTGCATCAAGTGTGGGTCAACACGATGGCATCCGACCCATCCAACAAGACGTCGGCCAACGCATCGGTCCTGTCGCGGGCCACCGAGTGCCCCGACACCCCTGGGGAGCACGGTTTGACCCCCTTTGTCGTGCTGAGATGGCATACCCCGGGTGGACACACGGTAGTCGAGGGCCGCCTGTCCGTTGCACTGCCGCATGAGTTCCAGGCTCTCAAGGCAGGGGATGTCAAATGGATCATCATGAGAGGGGGACCTGACAACACGGACGTCAGGCTCAACAGCACAGACGTGAGAGACATAAGACGAGGAGCTGGCTGCACGATCATTGGGTGCTGTTACTCCTTTGTGTGTCAGTACACGGTCGCCGATGGCCAGGTTCGGATTCACGCGAGTCCAGACGCGCTATCTGATGGCCAATACAGCATCGACATTAAGTGCCTCGACGAGAGAAGACCCACAAGGATCATCGGTGGGCAATTGAACGCACATACTTTGTGTCGTATGCACATCCCGTGGGTCTGTGTCTATACGGTGATTTATGCAGATCTGGGCATTCACTACGTCAACAACTCGCGCGCTGATGTGGTTTTGCCCGGCTCCCTCCACAGCATGCAGAAAGACGAGCTGGTGCACGTGACGCTCACCCCTGCGGCAGGTGGACCGACGATCGAGCTCGATCCGCCAGAGTATTCCATTGAGGACGGCGTCCTGCACATTCATTCCCCTAAGGTCCCCGACGGACCTTACAGAGTCCATGTCGAAAAGACGCCGGGCGACTATGTCATCGAGACGACGGGTATCACACACGAGACGTGCTCGGTGAGGGTTTGTTGCTGCACTTGGTGTCTGGTGCGTATGCAGATTTGGGTCGATATGAGTGTGTAAACGGCACCATTGTCGTACCTTCGCCGCCAGTACCGGCCAACCTGAGGGAGGAAGACATCGTGGGTGTGTACGTCACCGACCCTGAGACGGGCGAAGTCATACACCTCCGGCCGGATGAGGTAGCTGATCGACACAGATTCATGCACAGGAAAAAGATATGCTGGCGAGGTTTTTTTCGTCTTTGTGTCGTCAGTACTCGATAGTCGACGGCAAGCTCGTGATCCATTCTGACCGTTTGCAAGATGGCAAGATGTATGACGTCAGAATCGACACCAAAAGGAAACCCCCGACACAAACACTAGGTGGGTGGAGAGACGCACACATATCGACACGAGCATGTGTTGTGTGAATGCGTGTACGTGTCTGGCGTGGTGTGCAGACTTGGGGCAGAGCGTGTGTATGAATGGCACCTTGGAGGTGACGGCTCCCGCCGGTCTCACTGAGGATGACATCGAGGCTGTGTATGTGATCGATCCCGAGACAGGAGAGCTTACCCTACTCACCCCTGACGAGGTTGGTAGTCCTGCACAGACACATTGACGTCCTCATGTAGTGATTAATTGTGCGTGTTTGCGGCAGTATTCGATTGTCGACGGCAAGCTGGTGATCCGCTCAGACAGGCTTGAGGACGGCAAAACTTATGGCGTCATGATCGAGACGAAGAAGAAAATCACAACCCATCTTATCGGTCGGCACACACAAAGCATCATCAAAGAAATTTCCGTGTGTCTTGTCCCTTGCAGATTTGGGCCCGCACGTGCTGGACAAGGGCCGCATGAGCGTGGGGGTGCCTGCCAACATCAGCGAAGTGACTGCTGCCTCCCTAATCAAGGTGTTCCTCACACCCAACTTCCCTCTCGTTGTGCCCGAGCCCCCCGAAGCATACACGGACGTGAAGGTGGTCGGCCCGCCCAAACCGATCCAGCTGCTGGACAATGAGGTTAGCCACCATCATGCCTACATGGCACTCACTGCTCAGCCTACACGGCACCATCCTGCCTGTCTTGTCTCTGTCTCAGTGGCACCTGGACGGCAGCACGGTGTCGGTGGCGGCACACCATCTTGAGGACGGCGAGTATCAGGTGCATGCCCTTGTGTCACGACATCCGCCCAACTACAATGAAGGTCGATGACACATAGACTTACACAAACGGAATGAATGGACGCTATGTCTCGGATGTTCATGACCTAAAATGCAGTTTTGGGTCGCGCCACGGCAGTAGGGAATCGTCTGGAGCTGCCACTGCCGAGCATGGCTGAGAAGGACATCCACTACCTCACTCTTGTGCCCGTCGCTCCCCACCACGGCCCACCAATCAAGATCCCACTGCCCAGCGACACATACAAGGTGACTTTCGGCGATAAGCTTTTGGTCATCGAGGGATCCGGCATCCGCGACGGCACCACCTACTTAGCCGAGGCGGTCGGATATCTAGACGGTACACACAAAGCTGGATACATACGAGGACCAAACAGACTGTCGTGTTCTCCACGTGCAGAGAGTCGGACGTGTTCCACTGGCTTCTTCACCAGCGGGACCGTTACCCCCCGGGGATTTGTGCCGATCGGCCATGAGGCTAACTTCTCTTGCCCAGCTGGATTCGACTTGCAGCCACCAGACAGCGCACGGCTCGTCTGCCTCAAAGACAAACGATTCGACGGCCCTCTACCCACATGCGAACGTAACACACTACCTGCAGGACCACACATTCTGTGTGGCATACATGCGCACACACGCATTTGCCTCTTACTGCGTGTGCAGCGATTCCTCTGGCGCAGGAGTATCTGAAGGATCTCAACCTGCCCCCCGAGGACGTGGCGAAGCTCGTGGGGCTGTTCATCGCCGACCCCGAGCTGCTCAGTGTCATCAGCGACAATCACGCGGTGTACGGCTGGCAGAATCTGCTCGGGTCTGCTCAGGGCTTTGGCCATCTGGGCGGGGGCAGATCGGAGGGTCCGCGGATCGACAGATACGCAAAGCTGCCCCACTACCCTGACGAACACGGGTGAGACATAAGCTAGCGCACTTGTCTCTGTGCGTTCCTTCTAAGCTTCATTTCTGTTTGGATCGTCTGAGGTCAGATGCGGTGTGGGCTTCAAGTCGAAGGACTTCATGGTCAGCTATCGCGACTTGCCCGTACCGATGTCGCCCAACTTCACCATCGTGCTCGGCTTCAACCCATCGAAAGAGGCGGTAGATGAGCATGCAGCTCAGCTCAGCTGATACGATACAGAGCACTCCTTTCTTTCTCCCTCTCTGTGGTCAGCTGTCGGCAAGCACGACTGTTGTGGCTGGCCTTGCCTCCGTGAGCGAAACAGAGGGCACTCTTTTTCTCGACACAACAAAGGCCGTGGGCACACGAGGTGAACCAGCTCCCCATGTCCTCTCGAAAGAGCGTATGTGTCCATCCTTTGCCTTGTCTCGTGCTGGCTGGTAGACGGTCATCTGTGGTACCAGCGCGACTGCCACGGCCTTCCTATGGCCCTCTCGCAGCTGCCGCTGGAACCTGCCGAGCACCACGTTGCCGTCACTGTGGATGTCCCATCACCTTCCACCGGGGACGCCCACGGCACGGCGACTTTCTATGCCCTGACTGGTACCGAGGCCCGCAGGATGCCGATGAGTGCGGATGCTGCCTGTCTGCCCGCCATCGATATGAAGAGGCAGACGGCGCTCATTGTGGGGTGGCACCACGTCGACAAGACCTATGTGGGAGACATCTCTGCCGTCCTGATGTTTGCCGAGCCACCGACAAACCTCACCGCGTTCGACGCGCTCCTCAACAAGACACGAAGTACGTCAGCCGGGTGCATCGCACGGGCATCACGCACTGCTGTTGTTTGTCTCCCTCACTGCCCACAGTGTCATCTACCGGAGAGTGCCCTCTCTCTGCCAAAGGTATGCACACCCACCTTGATTGCCCCGATGGATGTGATAATGTATGTGTGCAGATGTGTGTGGCGCCTTCCCCGACTATCCCGTCTACGAGGCGGAGGGATATGGCCACGGCCTCGGTGCCGCACGGCACCTCCGATGCCTCTTCGCACCCATGAGTGCCTACCTTACCGCCCTGTGCACACGCGAGGGATGGCAGCTCCCCAAAGGCAACTTTTGTCCAGTGATACCCAGTGAGCCATACACATGACATTTGTTCATCCCTCTTGACCCACATGTGTGTATGCAGGTGGTCAGGAGGAGCCTGCAGCTCTGAGGGATGTGTCATCCATCATCCGCAAGCAGTACCGAGAGGGCACCCGGCTGGCGTACGAAGCACAGCAGCTCATCGACAGGGCCAAGCAGGAGCACGCCTGGGCCGACACACACAGCGAGACAGACCCCGACACAGCTGCCCGCAGACGCGCCCACGCGGATGCCATGCTCGCACAGGGCAACAAGCTGATCGATGAGGCCAAACTGGTGCAGCAGCAGGCCCTCGAGTTGGGAAAGCAGGAGGCGCGCGAGGCTCTGCAGAGGGAACGAGAGCTGGAAACCGAGGCACGTGCGCTGATGGAGGGGGGGCGGGCGAAGGAGGCAGCGGGCCAGGTGCTGGAGGGGCAATTCGAGGGGCTGCTGGCCAAGGGCAAACTGGCGCAGGCCGAGTGCATCCGACGGGCCCTGCATCACGGTGTAGAGACCGTCGCCAAGGGGGAGAACAAGCTGGCAGAGGCCAACAATCTGGGTATGACGGACTTCCAGGCCGCCCAGCGGTTGCGACAGCAGGGCGTCAATATGATCGAGAGGGCCGGCAGAAGATTACAGCAGCCAAGAACGGCACCGCGTGTCAGAACATCACTGAGCTGACGCATCTGTACCTGTTGGATGACCGGCCCTCGGAGCCTGTGACGACACCAGGCACCGCTGGGCCTGGCTACGTTGCCTTAACACTGCCCATCAACTGGGTGCTGGACCTCACCAAGAATGTAACGCTCGTCGAGACCACCAGCAACGCATCGCTGGCAGTGGACCCCACGGACACCGACATCCACACAAGCGTCCGTCGGAAGCACTGCACTCACATATATTACATACTTGAGTGGATTGTCCAAGCAACGGGTTTGTGCCTGTGTGTTCACATGCAGGTGTTGTCGGACGGTGTTCGTGTCCGTTTCACCGCTACCGAAGATTGTCCTTACATGTTCGACTTCCTCTCCGTCCACCAGGGGCCGGGCAGCAAGATAGATGTGCAGACAGCGGTGTTTGTCTACTCGCCCAGCAGCCTGCCGCACGACCTGCAGAACCATTCCAGAGCCAACATCCTATCACACACACCCGCGGCTTTCGTTCAGTTGAGGCGGCACGTGGCCAGGCGAGATGTCCCCACTCTTGAAGAGGACGTCAAGGCCTCGACCGACCTTCCAACAGTGGTGGGTGGGGTATGTATTGGCCTTCCCACATAGCTAAGAGAAATGCGTGTCTCACATGACGTATGTATGTGTCTTGCTGTCCAGTTGCCAAGTGTCCCTCCGCCTGCAGCAACGACCCCAACGCCGCCGCAAGCAGTGAAGGACGAGACGCCAGAAGAGGAAGTGAAGGGTGACGGCAGTGGGCCTGAAGCACCGGTACGTAGTACAAACACGAGCACAGATGAGAGAAACAGCCAGGGTTCGTCTGTAGGTGGGTGAAAGCCCGACAGCGCCACCAGCAGCAGGGGAGACACCACCGGCAGCAGAAGGCCCGGAACTAGCAGAAGGCCCGGAACTAGCGGCACCCAATGGTACACTCGGGGAGCCCTCCGGTCCATCGACGCCCGAGTTGCTAGACCGTCTGCTGGAGGAGGAGGGCCGCTTCTTCGCTGATGTGCTGTCCATCCACAGACACGAGCGGCTCTTCGCTCGCGAGGTGGTGCTAAAGCTCGATGCCGACTACCTGCCGGCCACCGAAGGGCCTCCAGGGCCGCACAGGGAGTGGCGGGTGGCCAAGCCATTCGTGCTGGAGGACCCCACGAATGCCTCCGACCACCTGCTGATCAATACGACCAGAAAGCCCTCATGGATCAAGGTAGGTATGTCTGTCTGTCTGCGACAAATACATCCCTCTCTCGCTCCCTCCAATTACGTCCGTCCGTGTCTTGTGTGCCCATGCATTCATCTATCAGTGGACAACGACGTCGGAATCTGACGTACCCTTTTTGCACATTATGTACCTCAACGCGAGCACGAGTCAGCGCCTGCAGAAAATGGCCGTCCATGGGGCACTGCACGCCTACGTCGGTCCCCTGGTAGTGCACCTGCTGTCCTCGCCCTACCCAGACGCACTGCCCGACCCCCTCCACGATATTGAGATCACAGTTGGACGCGACAGGACAGTCAACGGCTCCCAATACCAAGTGCTGGAAGGCAGAACGGGCATGGACGCCATGGTGAAGCCACCCGACACAGCCAAGACGATCGTCGTGCCATGCAGCCATGCCGATATCACGTGCAAAGTCCAGGTAGATCGAGACATCCACGATAGACTGACTGACCGAGACATCGACCGTGCCATCCCTGTCTTTTTTGGGCAGTACCGTGTTGGCTCGTCTGGGGCTCTGCTGCCCTACTTGGTGATTAGTGGGCCTGGCCTGGAGGGAATGAAGCGGCGCGGTCTCGAAAGACAGCCGAAGTTTGAGCCTTTCGATGCCACGACACCACGGAATCTGACACTTACTGGTGTGTTTGATGGCGCGCGGACAGAGATCCGATTCCGACTCCCGCGGGACACGCCTGTCGATCTGCACCGGTCACTGACGCTGAGGACGGTGGGCGGGGAGAATGCCGCGGTATGGCAAGATGTCTCAGACATCTACGTGGAGGTCAGCCAGCGCACATCAGATCCATTTATACATACACGAAGCCGGAAGGGAAACACAGATACCACACACTCTTTGTTTTGTCCGTCAATACCTTGATTGCAGTATACCCCCGACGCCCGCGGCAGCTTCCAAGCATGGCTTGTGCTGCGGCCCAAACAAGGTGTGCCGACGGACCTGGGGATTTGCTCACTGCTCAAGTGGCCACAGCCCCCGACAGTGACGGACCTGCAGCTGTGCCCCAACACGTCGCAGCTGCCCCACCAGCACATGTCGGTGCCCCTGCTGGCCACCGGTGAAGGTGACATTGGCATCAAGCTGCCCACAGGCAGCGTGCCAGACACCAGGCAGCCGATCGTCGTGTGGTTGAGGGAGGGACCCGTGGTTATCAACCCTACCGACGGCAACTTCTCCCTCACTGTCAGCCGGCCACCACACAGACAACACACTATTCATATCTCTTTGTGTGTGTGCAGTACACGAGTGGCGCCCAGCTGCATCCCTTCCTCACCATAAGCCCCAACACTGGCGCGTCGGCCCGGTTCGCATCGACCTTTCCGCGTGGGATGTCGATGCAGACCGTCCAGGTGGTGCAGAGGTGCTCAGGCACCGACGAGTCCGTCAGCGACACAAGAGACGCCTATCTCTTACCCGAGTCAATGTGCCCTGGCTGGCCTCGTGTCAATCCCTTCCTCTATCGGCTAGATGTCAACGCCGCCGTGCCGCTGAGCCGGGCACTGGGCGCCTCTGTGACCTTCTCATGCAACAGGCCGTTTTATCTTCCAGCACAGGGCAACAACGGCATCACGGCCGAGGCCAGCCAATGTGTGACGGCGTCAGGGGCAGGGTCAGATCAGCGGCCGCCTGCGAGTGGCAAGGGAGCCAGGATTGCGCCCATGTGGACATCGCTCAAGTCACTCAAATGCGAACGTACACACACATGTACATGCCACCCACCACACACATACATAAATCTGATTGGTGTCATGCTTTGCTGATTGATGGGATGGGTGTAGCTCGGTGTCCGGCGTGGTCCCTTGAGCGTTATGAGGTGGTCAACCCTGCGCATCCTGCTGTGCGGTCGATTCCGGGTGAGGACGTGTTTCCCATCCGATGCAAGCCGGGGTTCGAGCCCCACTGCCGGCCAGCCGAGGGAGCGGTGCCGCAACTGCCGTCATCTGTCGACGGGCAGCGGTGCTCCAAACGCGCCAAGTGCACCAACGGACAGTGGAACGCAACCATACAATGCTGGGGTACTGTACACACCTTGTTATATACGTCTCGTGTGTGATCCGATGATGTATTTATGGCCGATTGATGGATGTGTGTGTGCAGCTGTAGGCAGTGTGGGTGTGTCTGGAGGACCAGGCAGCGCCAGCAGTAGCCCGTCCCATGTCATCTCAGGGGCGCCGATGAAACACTTTGTCGCCCTCACCGTTGGCCCCGACCGACCGCCGCAGCCGCCATCGGCAGCGAGCGACGCTATGGCGGTCTCACCACACGGGGGCCTGGAGGCGGTGGCATGGCCACTCGGCGACCCACACCCCCATCTCAGCGGAGTCCGCAACCTCACCTCGCACACTCTGAGGCTATACCACGCCCCGCTGGGCGATGACGGCAGCAGAAGGCCGGTGTCTCGTGTGGCTATTGAGACGCAGAGGTACCAGGTGTATCGGTGGGTGCGGCACGTGGCTGGGCGGGTGATGGCTCCGTTGGAGGTGGGCTGTCGACTGATGCTCGAGAATGCTGGCGACAGGACCGGACGGCGGGGGGCGTTTGACAACGGTGTCGAGGCGCACCAGGAGCACTGGAGACACGCCGACAACTGCTTCAAAGGTCAGTACAGTCAGTCCGTGTCTAAGCGGCCATCCATCCATCCATCTATGTATCATGTGTCTGTCATTCTCCAGGCTCTCTCCGGCTGTTGGCCATCTGGAGACACCAGCTGAATGAAGAGGGTGCCAACACCACCGATATAACAAGACCATACCGCAGCCTCAGCCGATGGGACAGGCGCGCCCACGACCACGACCCATCAGCACAGTTACTGGACGATATAGATTGGGGGACTATGAGGCACCTGGCGGCTCTCTTTGTGGCTGAGGAGCAGTATATGAGTTTCGATGCCGCACATAATGTAAAGGAGTGGCGGGACGCCGCACCCGAGCTGATAAGAGGGAGAACAAAACAAGGGGATACTAGCGCTGATATGAGGTCGCTGAGGTTGATACAGAGAGAAGATAAATCAAGACCACACTTCGACAAAGACAGGTAGGTGCACAGCGTCTCCCCGCCTGTGTCTCACCCTCCCGTCTCCTCTCTCATCTCCTCTCCCTGTCTCTGTGTGTGTGCCCCCAGGGGCACGGTGGATTTCTCGTCATTACAGCAGTTTCTGATCTCATCGGAGCCGCTGTCTTTATTGGATCCGGCGGACCCATCAGGGGGCTTCTCGGTGGCCGTGGTGTTCTCTGCCGATGAGTCTTCGCTGCATGTGGGGACACAGCAGGTGTTGATCAACTACAGCAGCGGGTACAGGTGCCATCTGGACGTCAACTTCCAGTTCGGTATCAATATGGGCAACGCTGACGGCCTCAACGCTCAGGGCAGCCACAGCTGTAGGTCGTTTGTCCATGTCCTGCAGTGAGGGAATGGAGTGAAGGCATGGCGAGTGGGACTGTGCGTGTGCGTGTGCGTGTTGGTGGTCGTGACTGTGTCGGCATGGCATTATTGATGGCCGGCCAGTAGGCCCAAACAGACAGACAGACAGACGTCTAGCAGCAACGCAGAAAGATTCTGTATGGCGTTTGTGAGTTGGTGTGTGTGTCGTGCTGTTTTGGGATCGCCCGCTGACCTCAGTGAATAGGTGTCGTTTTCACTTGCTCTCCTGTCTTGTCTTCTCTGTGTCTGTGCGTGCATGCCCGTGGGAAGGGATATTTGTCTGTCTGTCTGTGTCTTTCTCTCCAGGGTAACATGTTGGTTTGCGCTTTCGGGCATTCCTACCTACCATACCCACGTACTTAAGACTTACTGGCCTCTGACTGATGTCCTTCATGTCCACAAGTACTGTGGTGCAGTGCATGTCGCATTCATGCAGCCACACACCATTCAATCTGATCATTGTGTGTGTATCCAGCTGGCCAGTCCAGGAAAGAAAGAAAAATCGCACGGCCGTCGGTCTCTCTGTCTGTCTAGCGTTACCCACACCAACATTCATCCATTCGCCCACACCGGCGGAAGGAATGAATGCACTCATTCATTCATGAGAAATACACAGGTCAGATCACAGCTTATAGATAAGATACATCCGGTCCGGACCCTACACAGCCGGCGGAAGCAGGCAGGCAGGCCGTCGTGCAAACAGACATACGGGCGGGCATAGCCAAACAGTCAGCCAACACCAGCTGAGCTCTTCGCGTGCTGTCAGCCCGCCGTCGCCGCCCACCCCACAGGCCTTACCGAAAAAGACCCCCCCAACCGCTCACTGGCAACCCCCCACCGACTCCCTCACTAGCTTGCTCGCTTCGTTGGACAGACTACCTACTTTACTTACTTGGCTCACACACACTCTCCTCTGCGCGTGACCGTGTGTGTGTCCGTCTATTTTGCCCTTGATTTCTCCCGCGCTGATGGGCTGGGCGTGGTGGGTCCCTCGTCGGAGCCACCGGGTGGCCCCCACAGCCTACTAAGATCCCACCTCTCACCAGCACCCTGATTAACACAGATGCACACATGGGGTTGCCGTCGGGCGCTCGTCTTTCTTCTCACGCCTCCGCCCAGCCCACCGATTTGTCAGGTTTGCCGCCACCCCGGTCGCTGTCACTGAGCGTGTCAAAGGCTTCCTCGCCGAGCTCCTCCTGGTACTCACGGATGGCGGCGTTGGAGAGATCTGAGACCACTTTGAGGAATGCGAACAGACCCACCAGCACCAGGCCGGGCACCAGATAGGGGATCTTCTCCCCGCCCACGGATGACACTAGAGACCGACCCAACACACCGGAATACACATACGCCTGACAGAGAGATGGATGGGCCGATGGATAAGCAAAGGGTCAACACACAGAGCAACTTAGCTTGTTGCCAGGTGTTTGTTGTGCATATGGTATGGTGCGTACCAGTGTGCCAGGAATGAACCCGAGCAGCGACGCGAGTGCATAGTCGACGAACTTGACGGATGTGAGGGAATACAGATAATTCGATATGGCGAAGGGCTGAGGACACACCACAGACAGACACATTGGCTGGCATCCATGTGTGGCATTCGTGTGTAAGTGTCATCATGAGCCCAGCTCACGAGGAAGGGCGAGAGCCTCAGCAGGAATATCATCTTGAAGCCTTCCTTTTCGACCACCTAACACACCAGAGGCACCGACATTCAGCGATCTCCTGTGTCCGGATCCCTCCATCCACTCACTCACGCACTTTGTCAACCGCCCTGAACTTCGGGTTCTCTGCAAAGAACTCCTTGACGCGAGGACGCAGCAGTGTCCTAATCCAACACACACACACACACACACAGGGAAGGAGAGTCTATGGTCTGAAGCTGTACGTGTGAGGCTGACCTGCCGAGTAGGAAAGACACCGACGCGGCCATCGTGGCGGCGATGCACACGGTGATGGTGCCCGGCACGATACCAAACAGATACCCAGCACTCGCCGTCAGAGGAATGGCTGCACACACACACAAAAGTACATTGCGTTTCCGCTGCATGTCTGTCTGTTCATCCGTCGTGTCGTGCGCCACGCACCGGGCACAGCGAAAATCTCCGCTACTGTGTACAACAGTACGAAATACACATACCTGAAACACACACAAACAACACACACGAAAGAATACCACCGTCACGCCCCGCCTACTGCATGCCTCCCCCACCAGCCCCACCGGCCCCGCCCCGCTCACCCCAGCGGCCCCTGTTCCTCGATTCGCCTGACGGCCTCGTTGAGGAACTTGGTGGCCACGATGCCCTCTTTGTCAATCGACCCACCATACAACGCATCAGGGGCCGCCGACTCATCACTTGATGCATCGCCAACAGGGGGGGCCGGGGGTGGTAACGCATCGGTGGCCAGCAGGTGTGCCGATCGGGGCGATAATTGTGTGGGGGCGGGGAATGGGGCGAGGGAGTGAGGGGACGACAGCCCCAATGCGGAGGGGGAGCCTGTGGACACACACGGGAAACAAATGGACCCGCTGTCTGTCGCGCAGGCGGTCTGTCTGCCCATTCTCTGCTCACTCACTTGCGGATGGTGACTCCACAAGTAGAGAGGCCGAGTGCACGGCAGACGTACCCTGCCCAGCCCACGCAAAACAGACAGATAAGCAGCAACACAACGAACGCAGATCCACACACGGTGGGTCGGTCGTCTTGTCTTTTGGCTGGCTGGCTGACTGACTGACTGACCGTATCTGCGAGTGCATCAGGGACGGCCGTTGGCACACCCAAAAGAAGAGAAGGCATAACTACACCCAGCAAATCCACCCATGGCATCAACGAGCTTGACCGCGGCCCCCTGTCGTCCATCTGTGTTCCGTCCATTGACTCGGCAAGCCTCAAACGATGGCCTCGTCTGTGTCCATGTGGCGGCTGCGCCCGTGGTGCTTCTGTGAAGCATCTTGAGCTGCGGGCTGCTGGTGCAATGAAGGCGGTGGCTATGAGCGGGTGGGAGAGGACCAGATAGCTGAGGACAAAGACCGGCAGAGCCATCGCTCTTCTGCCAGAAGAGTGATAACTCATCGTCAGCACCGGATAAGCGGGGCTACGGTAGATCTGCCAAAGCTGTGTGCGCCTGTCCTCTCGACAGCACCAAGCACGTCACCGACATGGCCTGCCAATCCTCATCCTCATATCTGCCCGTCTTCGACACAATTCGATGATTCTTTCGTGAAATCGGTCGGCTCCTCAGCACTGAAGCTCGCAAGAGAGCCGGGCAGATGAAGCATCGGAGTGCTGCAAACCGATCCCTTTCCGTGGGTCTATTGTGCGTGGCTGCAGACGAAGCTTGAAGAACGAATTTCCCACACCACGCCTCTCGCTGAGGCCTCAAGACACTCACGATGCAGCCCACTGGTGCAGCGCCCTCACCCCGTCCCCCCAGCCCTGCCCTCTTCCAGCCCGCCGACCTCTTCGATCTGTCAGTGCCCATCAGCAAGATGGCCGCCATGGCCATGTCGACTGACGATGCCAAACGAGCCGCTCTCCGCTCGCAGATCGTCACCCGCACTCAGCAACAGGAGCTGCTGGGCCACTCTGCGGAGACCGTCAACAGCACCCTGCTCAACGGCGTCCAGCGACACATCGACAAGGCCATCTTGGCCTTCGACATTGGTGGTGACGTGGAGGGCGGCTTGAGATTCGTCTGGCTACTCGAGCGATGGGGCGGTTCCTTCGGCTGGCCTTCATCTATCGGCTGACTCCCGCCAACACGGCTCTGCCCCTTCAGCTGTCGGCCGACTCGCTGCCCACAGCAACGGCCTTCCACCAGCTGCCCCTCACAATGGCCATCTACAAGACATTCAGCCACCTACTCACAGACGAATGGACCAGCCTGGCGCTGCAGCAGGCCGACAATGGGGACTATCACATCGGCGGTGTGACATTTCGTGTGGTGCCATATGGTGAGCTGCCGGGCGGCCATCGCTATGCTGACGGCTACAAGCGGACCGATCCCGTCATCCGCTGGGTCACTGACTGGCTCTTCCCCTCATTCTCGGCATTCCTGCTGCACACGCTGCTCAGTCTCTGGTGCGGTGAGGTGGATAGGAGGAGGGTGTTCGATGCAGCCGTCGGCCCTTATGACTATGGCCGTCTGCTGACCGAGGGCATCACAGAGGATGAGGGCATCGCTGTCGACTGGCGCTACGACAGATCTGAATGCTGCGAATCCGAGTGACTTTCGTCATGTGATAGTGAGCGGCTTCCGACACAACGAGAGCGTCGCTGCCAATGTCTGGGTGGGCTTCGACCGCATCAGTCTGAACACGACCGAGCCATCTGCCGCCGATACGTCTGCCGATGCGGCGGGTCCACTCGCTGTGCGCTTTCCCGTATCGGAGCCTCTGTGGCGCCGTTTGCTGCGGCTATTCGGTCTCGAGCGTTTGCTTCGACGGTGCTGGTGTGAGGGGTGAGTGGTGTTGGCCGGGTGGCGATTGGGTGGTGTTGGTGGATTGGATGCCATTGGTCTGAGAGGGTCTCTCTGTGTGAGCAGTGGTGGACGGGACTGAGTGCATTGTGTGTGTGCCATGGGTGGATGGCGTGCTCATCTTTGACAGACTCACATAAATGAGCGACTGATCAGCACAATTCATCGGCAACTGAAAATCCCTTGAGTGCTTTGGTTTGGTGCAGGGGCGGGTCGATACACACTGATGGACACATGACTTGATACTTTCACAGGAAGCCACCACACACACACACACAGAGAGTCCATTGTGCACACGGCCACCCCTTCATTTGTGTGGCTGCGAGGAAAGGGTTGTTCTCTTGATGAAGGACTGCACTGAGACAGCACTTTACTGATGGAGGGGGTCTTTCCGTCTTCACACGTGCGGGTGTATGCGTGTCGACGTCCGATGCTGTGCGGTGCAGTGTGTGTGTGTAGGTGTGCTTATCTGTGTGTCCATATGACTGATACATCGATTCATCAGCATAACCATAAGGCGTTTCGCACATTCCATTCACACCCACACAAATCACATAAACGGCAGGCAGTCAAGGAGCGGCACAACGACCAGTGTTTGTTTCCTACTCATACATGCAGCCGGGGAAGGGACACGTCGGAACGGCTGTATGTCTGTCTCTCACCCTGCTGCGTTACACCCCATTATCTATCTCTCATCCTCGTGCCGCCACATTTTGCCCCCCAGCGTTGTCACACTGTCAAGGGAAGGAACACATCGCAAGGGCACCACGGCAGCAGACGGGCACAGTCAGCCGTTGCTGTCTGTGTGTCTATCTGTCTGTCTGTCTGTCTGTCTGTCGCTCCTACTTTAAGACGACAATCGACGCACCACCTGACTCGTCCTGCTCATCCCATACCTTGCCCCCCAGCTGATCCCCCAGCACTCTCATCACGACAGAGCGCGTCTGGTCGTGGGACTGTGAAGATGGCCACTCGTTCGTGAAGATCTCCACACAGCGATAGCCTCCCACCCCATGTCCCAGCCGAATGGCTACCATGTTCCCCTCGCCCATCGCCTCACTGCCCACCACCACCAGCCGGCAACTCCATCCACCCTCCCTCTTCGTGTCGAGTATGACCGCCCCCCACTGCGCCGCATCGCTTTGAGAGGCCGCCAGCAGATCACCCACACGCTGGTGTGCAGCAGAAGCACGACCGAAAGACGACCAGTGTCTGATGCGATTGATGTGGCCGCTGCTGATCAGCCAGTGGAACAGCTTGAAGGCCACCATGGACGAGTAGTTGGGGTACGTGTAGCCGTTTAGCTGTGTGTGTGGGTCGGTGAGGTCGAATGGTGCATGAGGGAAGAAGGGGCTGGCAGAGACGAGGAGGGTGGGGTGACGACGGGCATCCGGGAAGAAGCAAAGGATGCCGTTGCCATCCATCAAGGGTCTCCGTTGGCCGCCATCGTCAACAGTGACCCCCCAGCTGAGTATCTTCCACTGGCGGACCGCCTCCGTCTCACTCATGAAGGCCGCCCGGCTGCCGAAGACGCCGAAGTTGTCATCCCCCAGCACCAGTGGCCTCTTGCCTCTCAGCAGATACAGCATCTCCAGCACTGGTTTCCATCTGGCCCAGCTGCCGCCCCTCTCCATCATCCAAAGCCGCCGGCTGAGCTGTTCGATGAGGTATGCCACACAACAGCCGTGGCTGAGTGCCTCAGGGAGCGGCAGTTGGGGGATGAGCCACACGACGAGAGAACCGAGGCCGATAGTGGACAGCAGGACGGCCAACAGGCGCATCAGCATAGGCAGCAGAATTGGGGCGAGGGAGTTGCGGAGGGTCTTATCGATGCGGCTGAGGGCGATCATCCCGGCATAGTCACTGCTGCTGAGGCACTGGGCGATGGCCGGCGTCACTGTGGCAGCGACGGCTGAGAAGGGCACGCCCCCTTGCTGCTGCTGCTCGCCACCTGTAACCATCGTCACAGTGTCGTTACATGTGCCTTCATGGTTGCGTCTTTCTGCAGTGACAGTGTTGGTTACCATTGGCAGTAGCCGGCGCGGCAGATGAAGATGGCTCGTCGGTAGAGTCACCGGCTCCTTCACAAGCAGCAGCCGACATCTGCACACCTGCAAAGAAAGAAAGCACGGACATCATATCAGTGAATGCACCGGTGGCGCCTCATCAATCTGTTAGCCGCCGAGTGGCTTTCTTCCGCTTGCCGTACCTCAGTTGGCTACTCGGCTGCCCTTGACTGTCGCTCTGTTGCTGGAGGCAACTTGAAAGTGCCAGAAATCTGCAGGAAACACAAAGACATCGCACAGATTGTCATTGCTGGTGCCAGCAGGCCCTCTTGCTTGTCCTCTCTCACCTCAGTGCGTCAGATCAGCATCACTCAGTCAGATGGGCGGCGGCATCTGTGAGGATCGATGACATCACGACAGCTCAGTGGGCATCTCCCACACACTCTACAACGCCACGTGGTTAGTGAAATGCACGAAACAGCGTGGCCCCGCAGCAGAAAGCTCGCAGATGCGGGAGGTGCTCGGGCGGTGCTCTGGAGGTGATGGGCGTGGACGTGACGCAGAACACGATTTCTGACCTGCTGAGCAGACAGATCGCTGAGCAGACAGATCTGTGACACGGGCGACTCTGCCTTTTGGAGGGGAGAAAGGCGCCCTGTCTGTCTATAGAGAGGTCTTCCACCCGCTGGTACTTGCTGCCGCACGACGCACACGTAGGCAAAAGGGGAGGAGGGAGAGATGGACAGACGGATGTGACTGATTGCTGCATGTGATGCGTGCAGGTGCTCACTCACCACGTCGTTGAGAGACGCTGCAGGCCAGCTGTTTGGGCCGGTGAGGGAGGAGAGGATGACTGAGCTGCTTGCTGGCACAGCCGCCCCAATGTGATGTGCAAGCGGCTCATGGGCATCAGGGCGTTCATGAGTCGCGCGGAGTTGCGAAAGACCATCGTGCAGGAGATCACCCAGAGGGCGGGCCTGCATGCCCTCTTCACACGGCTGTGCGGCCAACGCGCCACACAGGTGAGATCAGGGGAAGAAGACGATGACACAGCACACAGTCGCCTGTGGCTAAGTGCAGAGCTGATCCCTCTCTCTCTCTCTCTCTGTGTGTGTGTGTGTGTGTGTGCAGAGGGATGTCTCGCTGGTCAGCGTCAAGACTGAGTATATCGAGACCGTCCTCCCAGCCACATCGACGCCTATGCGAGAGGCCTCAGGAGCCTCACCGGCACGGGCAGCTCGCTGGCCGGGTATGCCGACATGACCGCCGCCCAGATGCGGCGGATGGAGGAGGAGCTCTCGCGTGTGCGCTGCCCCCCTGCTATAGAGGAGAGAGCGGCCAGACACCGGCAGCCGCTGCGTGACCCCTCGGTGCGCGAGAGAGTGGAGGGTGGGGTGGTGACACTGGCGGATGGGAAACGAGTGACGGAGGCTGACCTGGCGCTGAGCGTACACACCTGATCTCATCTAGCTGTGATCGTCTGTCTGATAGCATTCTTATCCATGTGTGTGGTTCGTGTGTGCACTGTTTTGCGTGTCATTTGTTGTCTGGTCTGACTGGAGATGTCTATTTGTCAGCGCATCTCTATGTGAGCGGTGGGATAGATATAATGAGCGACTGAAGCGAGAGACGGCATATATGTTCGTGAGGCCATGCGAATGAAAGACACGATTTGTCATGAATCGGTCACGAACACAGCTACAGAATCGGGTCGCCATTGTCTGTATGCAGTTGAAAAACGGTAAAACTCGCAATCAGAAGCGTCCTTGAATCGCAGCAAAGAGGAGGAGACAATGCAGCCATCTCACCCCCCACTCTACTGCCCTCTCCCTCTCCCTCTCAAACTCAGTCGATGCCCAGCGACACGAACAGGCCGGTTCTCGACAGATGCCCTACCTGGCCCCACGCGAATTGGCAGTCCTGGTCGCCCAGATGCTCGTTGAAGCCCTTGACCACCCCACCCCCCACACCGTACTGGGCCGCCTCGTCCAGCCGGGCACGGTGCACCACCTCACGCACACCCGTCATGCTCACCACCTGTCCCCCACTGTCGCGGACGGCGAAGCACTGCAGCGGCACCCGCACCATCACGCCGCCCACACTGGCCATGCCGCCCACCACCTCCCTGTTGCTGCTCGTCCGGGTCGCTGCCGACTTGACGAAGTGGTTGACGGCCGCACGCACGCGGCGCCTCAGCACCGAGTCGGCGATGAGGTACTCGTCGATGGCCGCCACAGCGGCGGGGGGCTCGTGCAGGAAGGCGCCGATCTTCCATCCGACGGCCTCAGCCTCGTGTGGGCCGAATGCCATGTTGGATGGGGAGGGGTGGGGGTGGGCGCCGTCGTGGTGGGGGGCGAGGGGCAGCAGACGGGCGAGAAGCATCGAGTGGTCGCGCTGGGGGGCGAGGGCGCCGTTGATGGCCGACATGACGACCTCGGACAGCTCACTCAGCACTGTGGCGTACTCGGTCAGCACCATCCCACGAGAGAGGCGGTCGCCCTCGGTGGCTGTGGGCATGCGGGCGATGGATGCGGCCGCCCCGAACCGCAGCAGCGTCTGGATGGTGGTCTTGTAGTCCTCGATCCGTCTTGAGTGCCACTCGTATTGCCCCTCTACATGTTGTTCAAATTGCTGCAGAAACACGTGCCGATAGAGCCCGTCGGCAGCATCTGCGAGTGGTGTCATGTTGGGCCGGTTCGGCCTGCCTCTGTTGACGTCGTCGGCCGTGAGCTGGCGGCACAGCCACTCGAGCACCCAGGGGAAGCCGTGGTCTGCCGCCACGTGCAGTGGCGTTTGGCCGAAGGTGTCTGTTGCTGTCATGTCGGCTCCGTGGCTGGCAATGACCTCCAGCGCCGTCACGTTGCCCGCAAGAATCGCCACTTGGATGGGGCTGTTCGTTTGTCCGCCTGCATTGACGTCCGCACCGCCGTCGATGAGTGCCTTGAGGATGTCATGCTGCAGCTGTCGGGAGGACCAGGGCGGAAGGACGACGGGCACTCGCCCTTGTGTGTAAGGCATATCATAGGCGCCGCTCGCAGAGAGGGATGGTATGTTTGTTGGGCTGTCGATGGCGAACGACAGGCAGCTGTATCGCCGGGTCGGGGCTGCTGTGGTGCCGCGGACGCGCAGGCCGCCAATGGATCTCGGGTCGGCTCCTTGCTGGATCAGCTGTGTGACTTGCCCAAGTGTGAAGCTGCGGCGAATGCAGCCCTCCAACAGCTGCCGGCTGAAAGGACTGACGCCCTCATCGGGGACGATGTCGACGTCGTCCAGCCCCTTCCAGCAGTATGGCACCAATTCCGGAAGTGCTTGCGATGCAGTCAACGACGACTGGTCCATCACACCAGGTCGCAAGGGACCACTGCGAGCTTTGAGTCGCTTTTGACCCGTGAGAGATTGCGTCATGTCGTTTGTGAGCCGTTTCGCCTCGCCCCTCTCGGCCCTGTCGCCCGTCATGAGCCGGCGGGTGGCTTTCCCGTTGGCGTCGCAGCACCGGTCATTCACCAAGATGTCGTCCTTCACCAAGCCGCCGGTGCGCGTGGCGGTGACGGGAGCTGCCGGCGCCATCGGCTACGCCCTCATTTTCCGCGTCGCGTCAGGGCAGATGCTGGGCGCAGATCATCCCGTCATACTGCACCTCATCGAAGTCCCGCAGGTGGGTGCGCCGTGCCGTGCAGGCAGCAGACAGACAGCCCGACAAGCAGCCGACAGCACAGCAGCCTTCCTGTCAAATGATTTGTGTGTCATGGCTTGGCTTGGCTTGACAATGTCAGGTGGAGGCGAATTTGAAGGGCGTCAAGATGGAGCTGGACGACTGCGCCTTCCCGACCCTGAAGGGCGTGGTGTGCACGAGCGACCTGGAGGTGGGCTTCGGCGACTGCGAGTACGCCATGCTGGTCGGCGCCAAACCCAGAGGGCCAGGCATGGAAAGATCGGACCTGCTCAAGGTAGGCTACCTACACACGTGGACACACATTATATGCAGGCCCTTCGATGAACAGACACACGTACACTCCTTCCCTTGCTGCATTGTTTATGTTGTGTCTCGTGTGTCGGTCGTTGTGGTCAGGACAACGGCAAGATCTTCACGGGCCAGGGCAAGGCGTTGAGTGCGGCTGCCAAGCCGAGTTGCAAGGTGCTGGTGGTGGGCAACCCCGCCAACACCAACGCCCTCATCGCCGCCCACAACAGCAAGAACATCCCCTTCGAGAACTTCACCGCCATGACCCGCCTGGACCACAACCGGGCCCTGACGCAGATAGCCCAGAAGGCCAAGTGCGACGTGGAGGACATCGACAAGTTCTGCGTGTGGGGTAACCACAGCCCCACCATGTACCCGGACCTCTCACACGCAACCATCAAGGGCACACCAGCCAAACAAGGTACGGACAGACGGCCGAATGCTGGGATGGATGGATGCACACCGACAAACGCACACACCTCGGTCGTGTCGTGTGGTGTCCGTCCTTCTCCCTTGCTTCCCTTGGTCAGTGATCAACGACGAGTCGTGGATCAAGAACGAGTTCTACCCCACAGTGCAGAAGCGCGGTGCGGCGGTCATCGACGCGCGCAAGGCGTCCTCAGCGGCGTCGGCGGCGAACGGTGCTTTGGAGCACATCCGCGACTGGGCGTTGGGGACGGGTGGCAAGTGGACGTCGATGGGGGTGGTGTCTGACGACACGTACGGGCTGCAGAAGGGGCTGATCTACAGCTACCCCGTCACGTGTGCCAACGGGGTGTGGACCAAGGTGACGGGGCTGCCCGTCGACCAGCACAGCCACGACATGATGCAGCACACACTCAACGAGCTCGTCCAGGAGAGGGACATGGTCAAGGACATGCTGTGAGCCAGTCATCTGAGTGAGGGATCAGAGATAGATAGAGAGGGCGGGAGGGCGGGAGGGAGGGAGGGAGGGAGGGCAGATAGACAAACCACAGGCGGGGATGGATGGGTAGATAGACCAGACAGCATACATACGGCGTTTTACATGTTTTGTTTGCCGGCGAACTGCCTCCTGGCATGCCATGCGTGTGGTGTTCCGTTGGTGCGTTTGTGTTGGTAAGTAAGGTGTTCCTTCCTTTGTTGATGATCCTGTCCTGGTGGCCCCAGCCGGGCCGTAGCGGATCTACGGCTAGGCTGAGGTCAGAGGGATGAGGTCGCCGGTAAAGGAGGGAAGCCATCTGCGCCAACCAACCGTTCTGAGGGAGCAAGTGGACAGACTGATGCGTACGCCCTGAGTGAGTGGTGTATGTATGTTGTGTGTGGTTTGAGTGCGTGCATGGAACGCATCGCATCACGTTTAGAGGCCACTCGCCGAGTGTTTGTAGGTAGATGACAATCAATATGATGGCCTCGCCTCCCCCGACACACAGACAGACAGACAGAGACGATAGGTAGCCGCTGGTTCGTGCGTGTGGTGGGTTGGCTGCTCGACCCCACCCGTGCTCTTTTTCTGCGTGTGCGAATGTGCGCGTGCGATTTGTGTGTAAAGAGACAAACAGAATCGGTAACGGCAACACCAGCAGAGCGACAGACTTCTTGCACCGTTGTTCTAAATGCCAAAACCGTTTCACGGCGGCACTACTCCCCCCGGAGTCAGTCCGCTGGCAAGAGGTGAATGGATAAAACATTTAACGCGACAACATACATCATCAATCTCGTCACTTGTGTCGATGCAGGACAATGAACGGCATCTCGGACGCCCTCCTGGAGCGCGTGGCGTCGCACCTCGTGCCTCGAGCACTGGCGTCCCTGTCCATGGCCAGCCGCAGGTGCGCCCGAGTGCGGCGCACAGATCTGTGGAGGGAGCACTTCGATGGGGAGGCGCGCAGATGGGACTTGTCCGCGCAGGTGGAGGGCTCCGAAGGGGAGGCCGTCATCTTCTGCCTCGAGTGAGCCACTGGTTGTCCCTGTTGATCGACACGACGAACTGACTATTTGCCTTGTCCGTCATGGTGTGTTGTGCAGCGGTGCGAGTGTGTTTCATGTGCTGAAGGTGCTGTCACTCGAGCGGCACCTGGCTGCCCTGCGGCTTGGCGATGTGGTGTGCTTCGGCAATTATCGCGATAGTGGCGCAGCGATAGTCACTGAGGACTTCACGCTGATTGAGAACCCTGACCATGGAGGTATGTCTGTGCTGTGCTGTGCCAAGGGTGCTCACTCCATTGTTGCTTCTATTTGTTCCTCTGCTGTGCTGTGCTGTGCTATCTATGATGTGTGTGCATCGGTTGGCCAGGCGAGGGTTTCCTGACGGTGCCTCTGCGAGTGACGCGGCTGTTCCCTGATCCCCTCGCCAAGTACCGACACATACGAGTAGGACCATCAAGAGCACTGACCCCCTAGGACAGACACAGCACACTTGTGCCGTTCGTTTGCTTGCAGGTGTGCACGATGGAGTTTGCTCCCTCCTCGCCGGCCCTGTGTGCCCTCCTGCGCGCCCCTTCCCCGCTTCCATCAGCCGATTCGTTCGCCGCCCTGCGGGCCGTCGAGTACCACCTGGTGTGGAGCATGGAGGCCGACAAACAGGTGGAGGATGGCGGGCCCACCCAAGCAGCTGCCGGTGTGGGGGCGGTGCTGCGTGGTGCCCCTGACTTGGTGCTGGAGGTGCGGCTGGTGGACGATAGTGTCGTTCAGAAGAGATTTGTGATAGAGGCGGGAGTGGTTGACGCGGTCAGGGAGTGGCTGGGGGCACTGACAGAGTAGTAGGCCATTCATGGGAGAGGGTTTTGACTTCGGATGGGGTTGTTTGGTGGGAATTGTGTGTTTGATGTGTTCTGGGTGGCAAGACACACCAATGCAATCAACGAGAGTCAAGTTATGAACAGCTGGAGGATGTATGCATGTATCGCATCAGTCAGTCATTATCTACACGACGAATAAGCATCCGCCACAATGCAGCCAGCTACGCAACCAGCACGTATGTATCACGCACTCATGTTGGCCACCTTCCGTTGCCTACGCGCGTCATCCGCCTCCTCATGGCGCCAGAATGGATCATCCAGCACTGGCCCCGCTGGTTTGGGGCCTTTTCTAAGGTGTGGTGGCCGTGCGGTGGGCACTCTCTGCGATGTGGTGCTCTGGATGGTCCAGTCCGTGGCGGGGTCGTCATCGACCAGCACCTAATCAGGAGGCCGGGCCGGGCCGGGCCATACACACATACACACATACACACACATATCCCGTGTCTGTCTGCATTGGGGAAGGGCCTGGCCTCTCTCGTGTGCAGCCCAGCCCTGGTTGATACCTCTGCGTGTGGGTTGTCGTAGCATACGATCTCTTTGAGCAGGCGGATGCCCGACACACGCTTGCCTAATGAATGCCGTCCGTGTCCAAAGGAAAGAGAGAGACACAGACAGACAGACAGACAGCCATTTGTTTGTGCCGTGGATAGCTAGATGCAAGGAACGCTCGTCCTTGTCTGCTGACTGACCTTCGCATCTGTGTATCGTTTGCAAGTTCTCATCTTCGCAGTAGAAGGGATACGCCTGGCCATCGATTGACACACTCACTGGTCGGGTCGATGGGCTCTCTGTGTGCATTCATTGTGTGGGTACCTTGGACCAGTCGAGGAAGGCATCGAGCACTCGCTGACGCGTCTCCGGGTCAGACTGACCAGACAGACAGAGGCACACCACACCATGAATGTCAGTGATGTCGTGTGTGCGGAGTGGACCTCGTATCTGTGCATGAGTGTGTAGCAGCTGCCGCAGAGTCTGAACCAGCTCCAAAAGTGAGACGCACGCATCGTGTTGATGCTCCTCAGACCCAGCGACCACTGGTCAGCATAGCTAAGGCCTTAGCAACGGCAAGGCAAATGCACACATGTCATCGATGTGTGCTAGATAGATGTTTGGCCCCTCCTTGTCTGTCTGCATTGCAGTGAACCTCTGAAGTCTATGGTGCTTCGTATGAGGTGCTGTCGGAACTCAGGCACGTACAAACTGTTGATGTCCGCCATCGGGATGCCTGCAGTGCAGTGCAAGCAACACACACGGATGAGTCTCCCACGCCTCACCGATCCATTCATCTATCCCGGAGACTGTCGGCTGCTGACCTGCCCCGCCATGGCCGCCCTTGAACCGAAGACCAGGCCTGAAACAACCAACGAACAAATCAATGAACAGCCAAACATCCGAATGCCATCCATCAATGTGGTTGGTTGCGTGGCCGACTGTGCTGACTGACCCTCTCCAAATGGTCATGCGTCGGATCTCCTCGAGCACGCTATTGTGTTGTGTGAGCTGGTCCATCGTCGGATCCGTGACAGCGGCGAAGTCCGGGCATACGTACGTGATGAACCCTGTCAGGTTGTCGTGCCTGCAAAGAAAGAAAGAAACCAGCCAGCCAGGACAATATAGCAAGGAATACGACTCTCTTGCTCACATGTAGAAGTCGGTCTGCGGCAGCAGCGTCGTCTCCTTCTTGTACTCGCCACCCTTGAGCTTGCACGCGTACGGCGCTGGACGAAAAACACAGTCCCACACACGGCGGTGACATGGGCCGCTTCACCTACCTACCTCTGAAGAGCTGGAACTTCATGTAGGGATGTCTGTCGACCACGTCACGCAGCTCCGGCTGGGATGCCCCCCTCGTGTCGGCACCGTCGGCAGTGTCCGGCAGCCCCGATGCGGTGTGGTCTATCTGCATGGTTTTGGTGTCGAGCAGGTGGATGGCGTTGAGCAGCGTCGGCAGCACCTCACACTGACGCTCGTAGTTGCTGAACTGCATACGAACGGACAAAGGTCCCCGTAGTCCGTGTTGCACTACACAGACATCCCCACGTCCAGGCCTCCTGTAGGTACCTGTATCTGTGGGTACATGACGTGCACGGAGAACTTGTCAGGGTTGGCGGAAGCCAAAACCTGTGGCCAGTGCAATCCAATCCTCACACAAAGAAAGCAAGACTGCTGCCCGGTATCGGTCGATGTGTGCACGTGCCAGCCGCTCATACCACCGGCTCGAGCTGGTCGTCGTCAACACTGAAGAACCAACTCACCTGAGGAAAGCAATACAATACCCGCAGACGGGATGGGGATGGCGATGGGCTGCCGTGTGTGCATCCTCGAGTACTCTCTCACTCACCAGGTGTTGCAGGGACGAAAGAAACCTGTTGCCATGCTTCTTCATCGGCTTCTTCCTGATGCAAAACACAAAACTCCCACATCCATCCAGAATGTGCCTCCTTCCATTGCCCAGCCCCCGACCGACCGCCTACCCGTCCAGGTCGAAGTAGAGGACCCGCGGATGGTGCTCGGCCGCCACCTCATAGAGCCCCGTGAGGTAACCCATCTTGTGCCGGCTGTACACGTGGTCCCAGAAGGACGCATGCGACGGAAAGTACGAGTACTTCTGGGTGGTCACGAGTTCCCCCTTCTTGTTGGGCAGCTTCCTCAAGTAGCTCGACCCCACCCACACCGCACTCCCCGGCGGTTTCGCCTGCAGCAGCTCCTCCTTGGTTGGAAAGAAGACCAGGCCATCCTCGTGACACTGGAAACCCTGCACAGATGGCAATTTCAGGAGATGGAACAGGCAGACAGATGTGCAGGCGCGAAGATCTGTGGGCGTACCCTGCCTACGAGGTGAGGGAAGCTAGATGCGCTCCTATGCCATGATGGTCTGGCTCTCAGTGCTCCAACCGGCAACCCAGATGAGAAGACGCGCCTCATGACGTCATGAATTCGATCGGCCATGACCCATGGTGCGCGAAACGCTTGCAAGCCAGGGGGCGTCTCGCGCGTCTCTCCTTGTGCAACCTATGCAATGAATGTCTTTCCTTCTATTTCTTCTTTGAAGCTCGAGACGCTCGAGGCTCCATCGATGGAGCCCTCTAATGTGACAAATAAGATGACTTAATGCATGACGACCGAAAAAGCAGGAAAAGAAGCATGTCTCAAGTTCCACACGTAAACCAGGATTCGGCTACATAGATAGTTTACTGCATGAAGGCGAAGTACCAAAAAAGCAGCAAAGAGCACCGGATTCGACACATCCACAGAGAAAGAGTACATACATGTAGCAGCAAGTCGGTCAGTCAGGCTGCGGGCATTTAGTCGACGAGCCAGTGCATGGGCCTGTTGTCGAAGAGCCTCAGCCTGTCCAGCCACAGCTCCCCAGTCATGCTGTCTTCACGATCAGAGACAAAGTTCCACAGAGGCCAGTTACGAGCTATGTTCTGCAGCACCTTCATATCTGAAGACACACACACACAACACATGTGCAACAGGACAAAGCACACATCAATCGATCCAGCCAGGCCAGAGACACCATCCATCTCTTTTTCCTACTTGCATTCGGCAGGGCCTTTTCGTAGTCAAGTATGCTCCTGAAATACCCCCCCCATCTCCTGTACTGCCGCTGCGAGTTCAGCAGTGGGTAACACTGGCTAGACAGCCCCCCGCTCTCGAACAGCCACATGACGCATTCATCGTGGCTGCCGCAGAACAGCCGGCAGTCATCCCTGCCCGCGGCATCAGAGAGGCGAGCCAACATGCGATTTAGCACATCGGGAGTGACGACGCCTGTGAATCCGGGCAAAGGCAACGTGTCTCGCAGGAGAGGGGGTGCTGCGACCGTCACGTTGCTGGACATGGGGATGTGCGGTCTCCTCTCCTCTGGCCTCAGGATCATGACCTTTTTGTATATCTCTGTGCCCTCTTCTGTCTGCCTTCTGGCGCTGATGGGGTTGGCCAAAGCAAAGGTGTCGTCCTCGCCGTAGAAGGCGCACTCAGAGTAGATGCCGTTCGGCCGGAACCTGAAGCCTCGGCAACTCATGACGGCTGGCGCATGCTGTAGGTAGCATATCCGGGCGCATATCTGGCGCATTTGCCTTTCTTCCTCGGTCGACGAGTCATCGATCGCCCCAGCGCTTGACGAGAAGAAGCCCGTGCGGGCGGCCCTCACCTTGCTTGCCTTGCGATAGAAGACGGTGGTGCCCTTGAGCGTCTTGCACTCCACCCACGCCTGACCCCCGCCACATTTCCTCCTGCACGAATGGCTGTCGTGCTCGCCTCCCTCCGAGGTGTGATTGGTGAGGGGAAGATACCCGGACGAGCCGAGAACGTCCCGCACACCCTGGCTCAGGATGCGATCTCGAACGTACAGTGCCGTGTCTCCGTCCTGCCCTGGCGGCCTCGCGTCTGTCGGCAGCCGACGGAAAGCCACACGGGGCGACAGAGGTGACTCCTTGGTGACTGCCACGTCAGGTGTGTCGGCACTCTGGCGGAAATACAGGCACAGGTCGCCTCGGCTGAGAGTTGCCGAGGGGTGGAAGTTGTCGGCGAGATGGTCGGCACACCCCTTGATGGCCTGCAGGATCTCGACGGTAAAATCGGCGAAGTTTGAGGGCTCCCCAACGGTGCCGTTGTGGCCGATGGCGCCCCGGACGCCTCTGATCTTGAGTGGTGGGCCCTTCTGCTGCAGAGTGAATTGCCCGATGCTCAACGGAACTGTAGGCGGGTCAAAGACCACTTCGAACGCCCAGGGAGCAAGAGGGCCGACACCATTCCTGAAGGGAATGAGACAGGAACATGGAAAGCATCATGCAGTGCAGTGCAGTGCACTGCATGCAGCGTGTACCTGATGCCCAGCTGGATTTGCCAGCAGGGAGGGTCGCTGCCGGCCTCTGCACAGCCTGTGCAGTTGAGCACCAGCTGCAGCTCCTCGGTCATGTTGCAGCAGTAGGTCCCGTTCAGCATCGTGAAGTCAGCCTCCTTGCAATACGTCAGCTGCCACCCATCCAGAGTGTCGCCAGGCTGCGACGACATGACCAAGTCATACTGCCCGTCGAAACTCGCCAGAGTGGTCAGCGGGGCGTTGGGCGGCAAAAAGCCGCCGACCACCAGCTCACGAGAGATGCGGAAGTACCGCAAGCAGTCCTCTGTTCTCTCGCCCTCACACCGTCTGTTGCACACTTGTGTTGCATTGACAGCGGCTGGCCGGGCGTGTTGGACGACGATTTGGGGGAAGGCGAGAGGCAGTGGGACGGATGACGGGGGAAAGGGGAGGGCGGGAAGAGGGGGCACGTACTTGAGCAGCAGCACAACAGCCAACCCAATAGAGAAATGCACCATTCTTTTTTTGGGAGGGGAGGGAAAGGAGATGAGCCCCACTGCAGGTCCCAAGTCGCGAGCTAATAATCCCCCGGATGCACCTTCTGATCTTTGTGTTTTTGTGGATCTGCGACCGCCATTCATCGTCATCAGCACACAGCACCGCCTGGCTGTCCCCTGCCGTCGTCCGCACTCCGCTGCTGAAGCATGTGTTGAGGCCGCCAATCACCTCACTCCGACCGCAGCAAAGGAGAGGACAGCTGCGCTCAGTCAGCTTGCAAGTAGCTGAACTTGATGATACAGATGACTTTGAGGACGAGGATGATGAAGGGCATCTGTCGGATGGCATCGCACCGCAGCTGAGTGAGAGCAAGTGGGAGAAATCGGCGCATCGCTACCGCCTCCGTGATGGCCTGGTCGGTGCGGTGAGGCGGAGCACAATGGTTGGAGAGGCATTCTTCGATGGCGCCATCGCGCCACTGATGGCGCTGTGTGGTTTGAGTGCGAGATTCCTCGTTTCGGGACTGGTCTTCCTGGTACGCCCACCAGTGAGTGCACTTTCTCCGATTCGCACTGACTGACGTCTCTCCGTCTGGTCCCAGGCTCTTGTCATGAGGCGTGACGCTGCTGTCACGGTGTGGGTGATCGGCTCCCTGCTGAATGCCGTTCTGGGCAAGGTGCTGAAGCGGCTCTTCAACCACTCACGGCCCGACGAGGCGACCGTTAGTGACCCAGGGATGCCCTCATCCCACGCTATGTCACTTTCCTTCCTGTCGGTCTCCCTCATCCGGGCCATCATCGACGCAGACCGGCTGCCGGCCTGGTGGAGGCTGGACAAGCGCTGGGCGGTGGTTCTCGTGTCGAGCTATGCGCTGCTGTCAGCTGTGTGGCGAGTGCGGGCGAACCTGCACACGAGTGAGCAGGTGGCGGTGGGAGGGGCTGTGGGAGGCACCGTGGGGCTCGTTTGGTACCAGCTGGGGAAGAACGGCATCAACAAGTGGATGGAGAGGTGAGTGGAGTGAATGTGGAGCAAGAACACGGAGCACGGCACAGTGTGATGTGATGTGATGTGTTGTGTTGTGTTGTGTTGTTGTGTGCTGTTGTGTTGTGTTTGTGTTGCAGGCAATTCGTGTTGATGACGGGGAAGCCGTTGCTGCCTTGGGGCTGGCTTGTGGGGATATGTCTGTTGGGCTCGCTGACTGTTGGGTCAGTGGAGCGGAAAATTCACAAACTGCTCGTTAGACTGACAGGGGGGGCCGTGAAGAGAGACGATAGCAGCGACAGGAAGGACAAATGAGTGTCGCTGCTATCCCTGGCTGTGTGTGTATAGCTATAAGCCTGGTGGACCTACTCACTAGACGTGTACACACGTGTCTGCCTGGTTGGTTGGTTGAGAGTATGAAAGAATTGAATGAATTCGATAGTCATACGGCCGTCATGGTCATGAAGGAAGGAAGGAAGGAACTCGGAGAGGGGGAGAGAGGTCGCCTTAGACAAATCGACACACCGACCGACCGACCGACCGACCGACCGACATCAGACAGAGAGACGGAGACGTATACACACGTACACACGTACGAAGCATGACACACACCGCGCCACACCGCACCGCACCGCACCAAACGCACCAGGCAGGTTGAATACTTACGGACCAATTCGACCTACACACAGCCACCCATCACACAGCACTCAATTGCGATAGGCACAGATAGATAGATAGATAGACACGCCATCATACAAACATACATCGACATCGACATCGACATCGACATCGACATCGACACACACACGTGCAGAAGACCACCACACACAACAAGAATCCATTGGTTGCATCCCTCATCGACTTACACGAAATAAATCAAATCAGTGCACGTCCCGTCCGTGGATGCCATGCCGTCCATCAGTCCATCCATCCATCCATCCGTCCATCCATCCATCCATCCATCAAGGGTCCAGAAAAAACACCCGTGCTGGCTCCCTGGCTGGCCGGGTGACTGGGGGGGAGGGAGTGGTGTGTGTGCGGCATGGCTCTGGCTGGCAAAGAGTAGAAGAGAGGGCAGGCGGAAAATGCCCTACTCGGCCGTCCTGTCTGTCTGTCTGTCTGTCTGTCATTTCTTCCCCCCGATTTGCTGTCTCTCATTGTCTGTCAGGGCTCACTCACTCACTCACACAGACAGGTCACCTGCCCTGCACTCACTGGTGGGTGTAAATAAAGTGCAGACAGACACTTACGGGGAAGAACAAAGACGCCCAACACACGAAGCACACGACAGAGGGGAGGGAAAAAGTTCGGCGGCACGCGTGGCTGTGTCTGTGGCTGGCTGGCTGGCATCAATGCATCCATTGTCCTATTATTATCATCAGAGGAGACCGGCATCTTCGTCATTGTGATTGTATGCACACGAGCGGCAGGCAAGGAACTTGACGGCACGAAAGGGAAAACGTGCACTTCACACACACCAACAGGCAGGCAGGCAGGCAGGCAGGCAGCGGGCAGGGGGGAGGCTATCTACACACCAAAAGACCGACTCAAATCTGCACTTCCCAAATGTCTCTCTATCTGCTAGCAGGGAGGGGCTGGGGATGGCGGGGGGGACAAGTGAGAGGTGGGGACGGTGGGGATGGGATGCCGTCCGTTCCGTAAAGACAAATAAGAAACAAACCAACCTATGGCTCCCATCTGTCTGTCCTTGACTGACTGGTGTGTATGTATGTACGTGTGGCTGGCTGATGAATACACCCACACCCACACGCACACGCACACAAAATACCCACGGCAGAATGTGTAAGTTCCGCTGTGCATGTACGTGAGTGAATGTAGGCAGGCACACGTGAGCTGAGCACAGACGAAACGGAGACAGGAAGGAATGAAGGAATCAAGGAAGAATTCCCCTCATCACATCACATGAACGCCTGAGGCATGCATGGCCATGCACGCATCAACACCACACCCCCCACCCCTCGTCTGTCTGACCACGTGACGTGCACGGCATGGCATCTCATCTCATCTCATCTCATCTATCTCGCTTACAAAACCAAAATGGACGGCTGTGGTTGTCTGTCTGTCTGTCTGTCTATACACGAGTGAGTCAGTATGTATCTCGGCCGTCCGCTCAGCTGCCCTGCCCTGCCCATAAATCAATCATCCACTCACTCACGCATGGACGCATGGACGCATGGAGGGATGGAGGGATGGAGGGAGTATGTACAGTATGTACACTCAACACAAACAACACGACACACACCATACCATAAACACACCGGTTGGTTGGTTGGTTGCTCGGGCGGTCTCAGCAAAGGGGGCAAAGCAGAATAACGAAACTTCCCACAGCAGTCAGCGTGCATCATGCAGTGCATGTACCAAACATGCCTATCTGCCGGCCGGCCTGCGATTCGCCCATCCATCCGTCCATCCACACGCCCGCCCACCCCCCCTCAGTCACATGATCACACCCACCCCCGCCGCTTGTTCCTCAGCTGCATGCTGATCTGGTGCAAAGGGGAGTCACTGGGGGATGACGAGACGTGCGAGCCCGTCCGCAGGGATGACCGCTGTGGCATATGCTGGACCTCGTCCGAGTCGGTGGCCAGGAGGACGGGGAGGGGCTCGCGGGTCGCGGGGGGGGCCGTGGGGGATGATAGCATGTCGATCGATGTCGCACCCTACACACACACAGAAACAAACGGTACATGTGCCTTGCTTCGGGTATTGGTTTGGTCGATCCGATCATGGCGTGTGCGTGCCGTGCTGCGCTCACCGGTCTTCCTAATTCGCTGGGACTGGGTGAGTCGAGGGAGTCGGCCTCATCGAGTACCTTGTCGTCGTCGTTCTCGCGGGCGTTGTCCCGCCTGCGCTGCTCCTGCTCACGCATGCTGCCGCTGTTCAAGACATCGGGCGAGAAGCCGCCGCTCGACAGCGGGGGCTCAGTGCACCCGCCCTCGCTGCTGTCGTCGTCCCACTCGGTCTTGATGCGGCCCTGCACCCACGCACCCAGGCCCTGCCCACCGGTGGAGCGCGTGGATGTCCCCGGTGGTGTCTTGCCGCTGCCGCCTTTAGTGGGGTGTCTTGGGGCCTGCTGCCGCTCCAGCCACTGCTTGTGCCGCCGCACCATGATGGTGCACGCAATGACGGCCGCGATGATGATGGCGATGCACATGCTGAGCACCAGGGTGAAGGTGGTCCTTGAGGAGGAGCCGCCGGAGAGGGTGGGGGAGAGGTTGGGGGCGTCGCTGTCATCCATCTGTGTGCCAGTCTGCTTCTTGCGCAGCTGGTAGTCGTCTCCGTTGCCGCTGCTGGCGGTGTCCTTGTTGTCTTGGCCGCTGAAGCCGTTTGGAGGCTTGTTGAGTGCACTTAGGAAGACGATGGTGTCGTTCTCGCCGTGCTTCTTCTCCTGCTGCTCCAGGTACTTGTCATATATGTCCTGGAAGGGCAGGCTGGTGTTGTAGAGGTGGTCGATGTTGTGCGGGATGGACCGGTGCAAAGCCGAACCCTCGTCGGACACGAGCGACTTCCAAGACGTCTCGATGGGCTTCCAGGCGGCGATGGCGGGGGGACTGCTTGATGATGAGCTGTCCTTGGGGACAACGGCTTGGTCGAGGATGCTGCAAGACAATCAATACAGAAAGAAAGGACAATGCCGTCACGTGGGTCATTGGATTGCCTTTGGTGTGTGTGGTGTGTGGCATGGTTATGGTTGCCTGAAGAGGACGACGACGGATCCCTTCATCAAGGCCTTGAGTCTCACCCGCCTTGGCTCGACTTTCAGTGTCCGGGCCAGGGAGGTCTCGAGCGACGCCTGCAGCATACGCGACTTCTCCTCGTCCTGACCACACACACGGACACGGACAGAGTGCAGACTGCCACATGTCTGGCTTTGTGGGCCTGTCATCCATCTGTGGCTGGCTGACCTGTCGTAGGTCGTCAAACTTCAAGTCGAGGAGTCGGAGAGCGAAGAAGAAGGGATAGGACGACACCTGCTCAGAACCATTACGGTGGGCCACCGCAGCACCTGACGCTGATGCAGACGCTACACACACATACATGCACAATGCATTAATGCCATGCCTCCGTTGGTGCCTCTGTCTGTCTGTCTGTCTGTGTGTGTGTGTGTCTCACTGACTGACTTATGTTGATGCATGCCCATTCGTCCTTGTCGCCGGGAGGGGGGCACACGTCATCGGCCAGACGACAGTGGGCGAAGAACTGACAAACAGCAAGCGACACACACGGTCGACCAGCCAGCCGTGCGACAATGCTGTCCGTCCGTCCGTCCGCACCTCGTTCTTCTGGATGCACTGTGCGTCAGGGTCCTGGCAGCATCGGGTGACGCGACAGTTGGAATCGTACAGCTGAGAACAACGACCTGAACGAACCGAACCAACGAGGAAAGAAAGCTCGGATGAATGGCCGGCCCTCCCCTCCCCTGCTTGACCCCCGCCTCGACTGCCTACCGTGTGAGAGGTCGCATATGCCCTCTCCGTGTTTGCAGTCCTCATCGTCGATCTCGCCGTCGGCGAAGGGGCACTCCTTGCCGCCGTTGCTGGCGAACGTACGCACAGTGTAGGTGCGCCGTTTGATGCAGTCGACGTCACACGCACTCCAGTTGGACCACTCTCCGTCGCAGTCAGTCGCATCCGTCGTCCCGTCCTCCTCCGTCTCTTGCTTCTTGTCACATTTGTTGGCGTCGCACTGCCTCTCCTCCGTGAAGCCATCTTCGTGTAGGCAGCCCTCGCCCAGCCCCTCGTTCTCAACAAAGACGTCGAACCTTCGCCGCTGCACACAACTGTCGTCGCACTTGGACCACTCGTTAAAGGTGCCCTCGCAGTTGAGCCGCTTGCACTGGCCGTCGCCGTGCTGGCAGGGCCGCGACTCCCTCCCGTCGTCCTTAGCGGGGCAGTCGGCGCCCTTGCCACGGGCGGGGGATGTGATCGTGAAGGTGCGGGTGGTTAGGCAGGACGGGTCACACTCCTCCCACTCCGACCACTTGCCCTCGCAATCAACGTCTGATACATGTATCACGTCACATCAGACACACAGACACACAGACAGAGAGCGGTGGTGTCTGGATGTGGAGGGGGCTGGGGGTTCTCTCCCTCACCTGTTTCGCATTCGTCTCCCGTGCACTCCTCTTCTTCCTTAGCGTCGTCGGTGTATGGGCAGTTGTTGGCCGTGGCCGCCGGCGATGTGATCTTGTACCGCCGCTCGCGTCTGCAGTCCTTGGTGCACTTGCTCCACTCCAGCCACTCGCCAGTGCACGTCGCACCTGAGTGAGCCCACACACACATAGGCGATGCGTACGGGCCCCTCAATCGTCCCTGTTTGTCTGTATGTGCGCCGCGCCTGCCTTTACCTTTGTTGCATTCTCCATCGTCGCAGACCATCATCTCGACATCTCCGTCGTCGAATGGGCATGCCTTGCCGTCGCCCTCGGCCTTGTCGAGCACCTCATAGACCCGCTCCTTCTGGCACTTGTCGCTGCACTCACTCCACTTTGTCCACTGACCCTTGCAGTCAGCAGCTGACACCACACACACACACGCATCCGGGGGGGGATGCAAGTTTGTGTGGCTGTCGACATGCCTGCCTCACTCCCTCACCGCATTGGTCGTCTTTGCATTTGCGTCTTTCCTGGAAGCCATCTGGTCTCGGGCAGTTCTTGCCCTTGCCCTCCGGCTCCTGCGTGACCTTGAGTGTCCGCTTCTGCTCGCACTTCTCGTCACAATCGCTCCAGTCGCCCCACTCATACTCGCAATCCACGGCTGCAACACACAACAACAATGGCCATTCACGGGTGTATGTCTGGCGTGTGTGTGGTCTGCACCGATCTCGCAGTCGTCATCGTCGCATTCCTCGATCTCCTCGTCCCCGTCTTCGTAGGGGCACTGCTCACCCTCGCCGACGGCATCCTCCTTGATCGTGTACACGCGAGACCGTGTGCAGTTGGTGCCACACTTGCTCCACTCGCCCCAGCCGCCAACACAGTCGGTGTCTACCAGAACAGAACGTACCAACCGATACGATACAGTGCAGTGCAGTGCATGCCAACGGCGGGGCGGGACGAGGGGTTGGTGGGTGTTTGTACCTTTAAGTTTGCAGGCTGATTTGGGGCACGTTCTCTTCTCCTGGTCCTGGTCTTCATAGTCGCAGGGGTCGCCCTTGCCCTTGGCCTCGCGGGTGACGTTGAACGTCCGCACCGTCTCGCACTTATCGTCGCACTCACCCCAATCGCCCCACTCCCCCTTGCAGTCCACATCTGCACAAACAAATGACCCACCCACCGTTTGGTCTCATGTTATGTTGTGTTTCTCTGTCCGTTGGCTCACTTCCATCGCATTCGTCATCGTCGCATTCTCGTGTCTCAGTGGCGCCATCTTTCTCAGGGCAGGGGTCCCCCTTGCCGGTGGCGTTGGCCGTGATGGTGAAGACTCTCTCTTGCTCGCACTCCTCGCTACACTTTGACCACTTCCCCCAATCGCCCACACACGGCTTGTCTGCATCGACAGAGGGATGGGATACATACGGGGGTCGTATCGTGTATATCTGCTTGTGTATGTTGCTGTGGTCATATATGGCTGACCGGCAGGGCATTCGCCCCCCTCGCACGTGCGCTTCTGTTTGGTCCTGTCCTCGAATAGACACTCCTTGCCGCCACCCACCGCCTCACGCTCGAGCCGGAAGATTCGCTGCTGCTCACAGTCCTCGTCGCACTTGCCCCACTCGCCCCACTGACCCAGACAGTCAAGGTCTGCAACACACACACACACACACACACACACAGAGGAGAAGACACCTACTATTAAGTGGCCTAGAGTGACCAGACAGGCTGAGGTCGCTTGTTTGTTTCTGACCGTCGCAAAGTTCTTCCATGCAGCCCTCTTCCTGCAGCTCTCCGTGTGCGTATGGGCACTGGTCCCCCTTGCCAGCGGCGCTCTCCTTGACCATGTAGCTCCTCACCCGCTTGCACTTCTTCTTGTCGCATTCACTCCAGGGCAGCCAGTCTCCGCGGCAGTCCCGCGATGGCGTCAGGATGGGCGGCACCACGTACCCGTCTTCACCGTACTCGTAGTCGTAATCGCCAGCGTAGGTGCACTCCTCCCCCGCACACACCTGCAACTCCACCATCCCGTTCTTCACGGGGCAGGCCTTGCCGCCATTCTTGGCGGGACGAGAGATGGCGTAGATGCGCTCTTGCGTGCAGTCAGCCGAACAGCTAGACCAAGATGACCTGGGTGAGCAGCAGGAAAGGCACCAACACATTACATTCGTCTGTCTGTGGCTGGGCTGAGACGCTTTTTGTCTGTGTTTATTCGTACGTACCAGCTGCCTTTGCAGTCTTGGGGGGCGGCCTTTTCGGGGCACTTGGGGCACTCTCGCGTCTGTTTCTCGCCGTCAGGGAACTTGCACACATCGTCGGTGCCGGGCTTGGGCATGACGACTCGATACTGCCGTTCTTGTGTGCAGGTCTCCTCGTCACAGGGGCTCCATGGCGTAAAGAAGCCCTTGCAGTCGTCCTCGCCCTTGACGGCTTTCTTCTTTTTCTTCTTCTGCTGATTGGCTGTCTGCTTACTGTCCGTGAAGGCATCTGGCTGTTGCTCTGTACCGGCGCCGAACCACCAGTCGAGCACGTCACCCACCGTGCCCCATACTGAAGATGCTGAGGAAAGAGAGCAGACACATAGCATAGGTGATTGGGGTCTGTGGTGCCTGCCATTCACGTACATTTGTCGATGTCGTCGACCGACGCGAATTTGCTGAGCATTGGGTCGCCGTCCTCCTTCTGCTGTTCGCACAGGTCCTCCGAGCACTCGCCCACCACCTTGGTGCCGTGAGGGAAGGCGCAGTTGCTGGTGTCGCCGTCCTCCTGAGCCGGATTCTCGTACCACTTGACCCTCGAGCAGTCCTCGGTGCACCGGCTCCACTCGGTCCACTTGCCCTCGCATTTCTTGGCGTCTTTGCTGCCCATGGCGCTGACCTTGGCCTTGCCCTCGGGCACTCCATTCCGCGACAGACACACTACCCTGCCGTCCTCCACGGTCGGCGTGCCGGCCCCCTCAGGGGCGAAGTAGTGCAGGTGGCAGTTGTCCTTGCGCGTCATGAAGAAAGAGATGCCTTGGCAGGGGGTGTACTCGTTGAGAGCGAAGGTCAGGCATGCCCCCGCACACGCCTTGAGGTCGCCATCGGGCACCGACACCTGCCGCTCCAGCACCGCCCTCTCCTTGGTCCTGGGAGGGATACACACGCCGCTCTGGTTGAGGCCTTCCTGCAACAGCGCTGTGTATCCCTCGGGCACCTCCAGCTGCTGTGCCGAGGCCGTCACGAGCACCGACACCAGCAGCAGTGCGATGATACAACGGTTAGCGCAATTCGTCATTGTGGCGGCTCGTATGTGAGTCAGCCTCAGCGGGGCAGGCGGAATGTCATCGAACAAGTGGATAGCCCCCTCCTCCTCTCGTGGCAGCAGCGATCACAACCGCTACTCAGCCTTGACGAGGGAACGTGGCGGCCGCCGTCCCGAGGGCCACAGGAAGCCCCTCTACGAAGAAAATAGCCAGCGAGTTTCCTTCTCTCCTCGTTTAATTTGGCCCTCCCTCTACCTCCTCCAGCGCCAACGGCTGTCGCTCGACTGGCCTCGTCTGTGCTTGCAGCCGTAGCTTCGTGTGGCCTCTATGCCGTGCGACTTAGCCTTGTGCCGCGCTCCTCTCCCTTCCCTGATTCCTTGTGTGAAGGACAACTAATTCTGTCCGTACAAGCTCGCAAGTCAGGGGAGGGAGGGAGAGACAGGCAGAGCAGCAACACACACCTTGTTTGAGCCCCTACATCGAAAAAGGACTTCCAGTGGCACCACGATGTCTTCGAATGCCATCATCGGCGAGGCGGTGACCTATCTGATATTTGCAGTGACCTTCGCGGCAGTCAACATCATGTTGTTGGACATCGACCAGTCCGCCGACGTGTATCAGGCCGTGACACAGCCGCTGCTCAATGCAGGTGGGTGGACACGAGCGAACAAAAGGAGACAACAGGTGAGACAGGCAGTCACACATGTTTGCTTGGCTGTAGGATGCCGAGGGGAGGCTTCAGACACCTGCCCCCCCGCATTTGTCAATGTGACGAACCCCAGGCAAATCTACGCCTGGATCAAAGGGGTAGACCCTGGCAACATATGTACATGAATCCCACTGCAAATGTGATGTCCCTCTCTTGCGTCTATCTCTGTGTTTGGCAGGTGTTGTTTCCCGGTATGTTTGATGAGATGCCCATTCTGGGCGACTTCGACGACTTCTGTCATCCCACGTACCCCTGCGACCTGGGTGAGGGTGACTGCGACGATGTCGACAATGCAGCCGATTGCAGGGGGGCTCTAAGATGCGGACAGGTACACAGGCCCACACAAGTCCAGATACCTGCCGGCGAGCCGATCCAGTGCCTGCTCTGCTGTACCTGACAGCCTATGTGGCCTCATGATAAGCGTCGCATTCGGACATCCCCCGCATGTACCAACAACTCCGTTCCTCTAACCACACAAGTAAAACTCACGCTGCCAGCAGCCGACAAGATGATATACCAATAGGTGGTCGATGCTCTCTGCAGGTGCTATCGTATCTGCCGCATAACGCCATCGGCTTTTACAGTGCGCTGGCCGACCTCACCCAGCAGGCGAGCAACTCATCCGCAGGGGGCTTGTCTCAGACTTATGACGTTCATTCGACTAAGGCAAGGCTGGAGGCAGAGTACTACTTCGCTCTGGCAAGAGGTGGGTCGAAGAGCTGGATATGTGTGCGCAAGCACACGAGGAAGACAGAAGAAACAGTGTTCTATCTGATACACGTCAGGTCCCATTTGGACTGCAAACAAAGGCTGGAATCCTGAGATATTTTTACCGTACCCTGACCATCTGGATGGCAACAGGATCCTCAGTCAGGTGTATTTGGTGAGAGTATGGAGAAAGACACAGATTTTCACCATGCACACGGCTGACAAACCACCTGTACTCACCTGGATGTCAGGGCCAGGCGTTCAACTACAGCGAGAACTGTGGGTTCCAAGAGGTGTGTCTGCTACCGTTGGGGCTCACGATGCAGCCGCCACACGGCGAAGGCAAGACGTATAATCAGCTGGTGGAGAAACCCTGGTGAGACGGAGACACGTTACAGCAGGGTGGTGCGACTCCACGATCGAGTCTCTCGATGCAGGTTCTACGCCCGGCGATTCATGCTGGTAGGTGCCTTCAATCGCATTATCAAGTTAAGACTCACGCTCAAGAAGAGGCTCAAGAAGAGCAAAGCACAGGTAGTGTTGCAACGACGGCAAGCCTCGAAGACTGACGCACACCCACGCTGCATCATCTCCTTGACAGTCGAATCCGTCTTGGAGTTTTGGTGATTATTTCCCCCGCGTGTGGCCGGCTCGTGCCAGTAGCCACTACACTGCCGAGGGGTCCAATGCAGGAGAGCACAAAGACGGACTCACCAGGTACACATAAACAAGGAAGACAGCACGACCCAGACACCGGCAGAAAGGACTTGCATGTTCCTTTCGCGCGTAGGGCGGATGGCCGAAAGCGGTCCTACGTGACCCGCAAGTCATACCTTCGCAAAGGCGGCTATGTTGAATTCTTTGATCCGCGAGACACCGTGCACAGCGCCGACATGTGGCTGGATAAGCTGGAGCAGCTCAGAGTGAGTAAGTAGCGAAGAATCCCAATAAAGCTGTCTGCAACTTACGGCGTGTGATGGACGTCATCTGCTAGGCTGAGGGTTGGTTCGAGGCTGACATGGCCTCAATGGTCGTTGATCTCATGCTATATAACGGCAATGTGGACAAGTTCATACAGGTAAATGAGAGACAGACATACAATCAGAGAGAGAAAGAGGGACGTGTGGTTTGCGTGTATCAGGTAGCCTTCCTGTTTGAGAACAGCCTGGCTGGCATACTGAAAAACTGGATTAAGGCGCGGCCCTTCTCGACGGCACTCTACGACCTACGAAAACTCAAAAACGCCGTGCGGCTGATACTTGAAGGTGTCGTGCTCATACTATTTGGATACTTCTCTGTGCAAGAGCTTCGCTTCTTTGCGAACGTCGGCCCAGTGAGTGAGCACGGCATACGTAGGGACGTGTCTGTGTATTTCGGTATTGTCTTGCCAGGCGGATTACTTCAAGGACCCCATGAAGCTATTGGATTGCGTTTCGCTAGGTCTTTGCTTCAGCGCGATCCTCTTCTACATCAGTCTGGTGTTCAACTACACATTCTCGCACTTTGAGTTCAAACCACAAGTGAGTGAGTGAGTGACGAAGACGCGGACCTACAGCTCTTCCCTTGAATCAAGTGCCTGTTGGCCTGCCTGTAGGTGCAAGCAGTGGGCACCGAGCCGGATGGCTATGTGTCTGATCTCATCTACAGCAACCTGGAGGAGCTGGCCGTCATCGCTGCGTCCGTCAACCGAGTCGTGGCCATCAACATCTGCTGCCTGTTCGTCCGGTCGCTCACCTTCTTGGAGTCTGTGTCGCCCACATGGGGCATCCTCATTACCACCATTGGGCGCGGAGGCCCCAACCTGCTAGCTTTCATCTTCCTCTTCTTCGTTGTCTTCTTCGGCTTCTCCTTGGCCGGGTATTTTATCTTTGGCGCGAATTATGGCGGTCAGTGAGCAGCAGGAGACACAACTACATGGAGAATGGAGGGTATTGTGCTGTACATACAGGGATGTCGACTGTCCCCAACAGCGTAATGAGATGCTTCATCATGCTAAGCGGCCATCCAAAATTCGACAAACTTCAGCAAGCTGACCCGTAAGAGAAACTCACAAAACGCACCAAAGGCATTATAAGGAACTCAATCGCTGTCTCTCTTTCCTGCGTCCGCAGGCAGTGGTCAACTCCCTTCTTCTACGTCTTCTACATTGGCTTTCTTCTCGTGTTGTCAAACCTGTTCATATCGATCGTCTTGAGCGCCTACAAGAGAGAAGTTGCGCGCATCAATGCAATGGGCCATCTGGAGGACCCCATCTCTCAGCTAGTTGGCTTCATTGAAGAGGCGTTCATCAAGCGATTCTCTGCACTGAAAAAGGTGACACAGAAACAAAGCCCGCTTGTGAAAACGACCTCTGACTGTGTGTTCGCCATCAGCTGCAAATGGTCAAATACATGGGCAAAGGGCTAGGTGTCCGTCGCATCAGCCCCGATCGCGTCAAGGAGCTCATGCGTCTGAAGGAGGAGGCCAACCGCCCCTGCAGCAGTGAGTGCTGGGGCATTGTCGTCTTCTTCGCCATATTTATAGTCTTCATCTACATGCAGGTATGTCAACTAGTCTGCTTGGTCGATTGTTCTGCCTATTTCGTTTGTTTCAGTCACGCACAATGACGGTGTATCACATCAAAAGGCTGTCTGAATTGGCGATTGAGGAGTCGAGATGGCAGATGACCCTCAAGGGCTCCACGGCCGACTGGGAGACCTCCTTCCAGCGGGTGTCAAAGATGAACCAGGTGGAGGAGTTCATGCGCGAGGTCATACAGGAGAGACTCTTTACACACTTTGACCACGAGACCCGCTATCTCGGCTTTACCAACCAGGTGCGCTCTCTCGTCAGTGCATCGAACACTTTCTTACCATGTTTCTGCATCTCTCATGAGTAGATGGGTGGCCCCTGGCAGAGTGCTGTTGGAGTCCATTCGCTGGTCCGCATGACGATTCAGCTCGCATGCTATCGAAAGAACGACATTCGGAGATACAAATATGGTTAGCTGGCGATTGATTCGGAGCCACCTCATACATTAGCACTTCATCTTTTCTGCAGGCTATTATTTCCTTCGCACCACACCGAATGAGTATTGCCCCTCGGAGCCGTGTTCGCGAAACAACGAAGACCCTTGCCGGAACTACTACGGCGAAAGGGTCCGTCCACTTCTACATGTGCATGCACAGCACATATTTGTGCGCCCTGTTTGATTGTTCAGTACAAGCGGTCTCAATACAAGGGTCGCTTCAAGGCACCCATCTCACGAGACACGTAAGAGATAAGGAGACACATATCCCTGCACTGTGCAATAATCCTCGCGTCGTCAGATACTATTACTCGCCGAACAAGAACACATACTTACGGGTCGGCGGGTACCCGCTGGCCCTGGGCGTGGACAAGGGAGACGTGGAAAGAAACATATTTGAAATCGTCAAGGTGAGCTTCCCCGTCCTGCTATGGTGGTCTGTAGGGATTCATGCTTGTCTTTTTGCTGTGCCTGTCGGCAGGATGGTGTGTTCACGCCCGATGTGGTGTCATTGGTGTTCGACTGGGTCACGTACAGCGGCAACCTGGACGTCTTTGGATACTCGAAGGCCGAATTCTCACTCAGTATGCTGACCGCAACGGCAAACGAAGAGCAGATAGTTGTTGCATGCGCTGTCTGTCCCATGTCTGCTTCTAGGCAGCACTGGTCAGATCAAGAAGAGTTTCTCCGTCCGAACCTTCCCTCTCAACTTCTACCACGGAGGGCACTGGTCAGAACAGGCTTGCACACGCAAGCGACATCCGTCCACCATTCTCTCCTTCTGCGTCTCAGGTATGTGCACTCGCGTCGAGCCATTCTAGCCCTGCAAGTCCTTTACGTGCTCTTCGTGGCGTATTACATCTCGAACCTGCTGAGGGATCTCTATCGCCAGAAACTGCTATCATCTGCTAAGGGGCGAAGAACCATTGGAGCAATAATCGACTTCTACTCGGTGCGCGCTGAGTGAGACACAACACCAACCTACGTTTGTGCGCATTGGGATAATGTGTTATAGAACGACGCGTGGAATATATCTGACTCGATCTCGCTGGTCCTGTCCGTGCTCACGATCGTCTACTGGCTATTGTACATATGCCCACATCCACGTGTGGGCACCAAACCTTTTCCATGGAGGTATGAGATTCCGTCCATTGACCGGCTAAGAAGGCAGAGGGCCTACCTCGCGCAAGGTGAGTGGGACACGCATGTCTCCGGTGCTATACATCACGTCCATTATCGTCTGCATTCGTATAGGCCTGGATTCTCTGTACCGTCCTCCGTTTTCTGTCAATGCGACGCTGGGTGTCGACAACTTTGACGACATCTTCTACCCGCTTGATGAGTTTAGCGTATCGTCGTCCACATACGACGTCTTCACCAAGATCGCCGGCGTCAACACATTCTTCGTCTCTATCCGAGTGCTCAAGTATTCCTGCCTTCACAACAGCACGACGGTGACTTGGCTGCATGGATGGTGTTTTGTCTGTCAGGTACATGCAGCATCTTCCTACAATTGGCGTCATGGCAAGGACACTGGGTGAATCCGCCGCCCAGATCATCAACTTCACTTTCCTGATCGTCCTGCTGCTCGTGGGATTCCCTGTAATGTTCCATGTTGAGTACGGCACGCAGTTTGCACAGTTTAGGAACGTGCCACAGGCCATGATCACGCTGTTCCGGTGAGTGAGCCAACACAGAGTGCAGATTGTATGCCAACGCACACACAGCACCGGTTTCCTCCCATGTCTCCGCGACATAATGTTCCGGTCCAGGTACATGATTGGTTCATTTGATGTGTCTGCAATGTATGAGAATGACCCCATCTTCACCGCCGTGTTGTTCGTGCTGTTTATGCTGCTGTTCTTCTTCATCCTCGTCAACATGTATCTGGCCATCATGATCACCAAGTGGCGCATGATCGTGGCGCAACAGCAGGGGGGACACCAGACGAAGGACCAGAAGATGTAGGCTCCAAGTCTTTCATGTCTCTTCCTCATGGGCGTGTCTTTGTGTTTGTCAGTCGCCCGAGTGCGTGGGCCAGGTATCGCACATTGAGTCGGAGCGCAGCGGCGCTCCGCGAAGCCATGAAGGACAAAGGCAAGCGGCCGACATTCGTCAGCATCTGGACAAAGGCCAGGAATGCAAGAGTGAGCGAAAACCACTCCCATGCATCAGTGGTGTTTCGATGTCATATTTGGTCGTGTATGCATCCCGTACGCAGATGCGCGAGGGCATCATCAATGCACTGAAAGCATCAGCTGACGAGACCAAAAGCCACGCAGTCCCCGAGAGCGATGCGCTCGTTGCAATAGAAGGCCATCCAGGTGGCAAGGAGGCCACGGCAGCTGCTGGTGGTGATGAAGGGTATGAGACGGTGATCGAAACAATGTCCGATGGCACGACACGACTCGTCAAGAGACAGGTAGGTACATTTTGTCTGCCATTATGATGTCTGTCGTATCCCACCGGTTGGTCGTATGTGGTTTGCCAGAGTGCCATTTCTCAGTTCTCTGCAAAGGTGAGGGCCATCACGCAAGCGTCCAATACGGCCATCATCCAGTCAGTCACCCAGCGGCTCTTCAACGACCCAAGCGGGCTCTCAAAGCAGCTCATAGAACAAGTATGTCAGGAAAGCATCCGCAGAGATCTGTGTCCAATGTCTTTCTGTCCATTCGCGGATGCAGCTCGATGTGTCCAAAGGCCCCGATGCGTCTCTCCATCTTGATGCTCTGGTGATGGTGCTCGGATCGCACAGGGGCAGGCTTGTCTTTCGGCAGCTGTTTCCCAGTATGTTTGAGCTAATGCTGCGCAGACAGGATCCACTGAAGGCTCGGATGTCCATAAGGACCGCCGCTACGCCACACTTGCGGAGGCAATTCAAGGCGGCAAAGGATGAAGTCATACAGGCAGAACGGTAGAAGAGGAGACAAGAATCAACAGAATGAACATCGGCCCATGTCCCTCTTTCAGCATCTTGGATAAACTCGAGCTCACTGCCAAAATGGAGTCGCTGAACCATCAACTGCGCTACTATGAGTCGAGACTTGATAATGCAAAGCTCTACAACTGGGTCAGCAAAGAAGGGAAGTACAGAGGACACATGGCGGCTGAACTAATGTCTCTCTCTTGATTCACTCAGGTTTACATGGAGTACATCACAGAGCTCGAACGTCGCATAGCCAAGGTTAAGGACGAGACAGAGGCAATCAGGACGAAGACCAAGATATTGGTCGACATCGCCAGACCCCTCATAGACGGCGACATGTTGGGCGACCGTATGAGCAGTCGCTGCAGCAGTGCACTACTGGCAGTGCCTGAATGAGGATTACAGAAGCTGACGTTTGTTGTAGAATGCAGAGGCAACGGTAGGGGAGGGCGGCGTGCGTAGCAGTGACGGCGGCGTTGTAGTGAGCAGAAAATGTAGCCAACTGACGGTAGTGATCTCTCTTCGTCAAGTGCTCCTATAGATGTGGGGAGCAAGTGCTGGCATTGCTGAATGAAGGGAGGCAGAAGCGGATGAGTCTCTTTTCGCTGATCCTCGTTTTGCCCTACCATAACATGATTGTATCCTGTGGGCACTTCTCTGCCTCTCTTCTGAGAATTTACGATCCGCTCAACGGCCAACGGCTGGGAGGGATCGCAAACGCCATCTACCCCATCTTCCAACGCTACCTCCCCATTTCTCTCCTCGCCTTCCTCCCCTCCCAGCGACTTCTGAAAGCCGAATCCTTCTGCGCGTTCCTCTTTTGCTTTGTGAGTCCGTTCCGTTGGCCCTGTATCGGCTCTCCTTCCCGTTCCCATGGCTCACGTTCCGCAGCACACTGACAGCAGGGTCAAAAACAGTAACCACCAGCCGCCCTTCCCCCTCCCCCCCCATCGTGTGCTGCTGTGTGTGCAGGCTGCTGATGTGGAGGATCCCAAGGTGTCGCTGGCTACCGAAAAGCCCAAGCGCACCGCCCTTAAGGTGCTGGCCATCGTGGGCGGCATCGTCCTGACCGCCGCCTGCCTCTTTGGCATCATGCTCGCAGCTGTACAAGGTGGGTAGAGCAGCAGCTGTCTGCTGGGTGAAGTCCTGCTGCATCCTGTCTGCACTGTGTGTGTGCCATCAGTGTCTAAGGAGATCACGGTCTCTGATGACGAGCAGCTGGTGAACAGCAAGGACAGCATGCCCCTGAGGTTCAGCGAAGCGCTCGACAGTCTGCCCCTGGAGGGCCTCGCATTCCTCCCGCTGAACGAGATTCAGAAAATGGAATCCCTCCACATCAACGTATGTGACGAAGCCAATAACAGAATGGGGGGACCACACTCGCTGAATGTTTCCCTGTGTGTGTTCGTGTCGCATGGCATGTGTGTGTATGCTGCAGATGCCAGAACAGGGCTCTGAGCGTGTGTACAACATAGAGGGTGTGTTCCGCGACCTCACCACCAACACTACTGAGGTTCACCTCTCGCTCGGACACAAACTCCTCACATCACCAGGTGGGCGCTGCAGCATTGCCCAGGAGAGGGAGGAACACAAGCAAGGGACCAGCCAAACACGCGACACGCTCTGTTTGGTCGGTGCTGTGATTGCTGGCCACTCAGGCAAGTTTTCCTTGGTCGATGAGAAGGGTGCATTCGTGTACAGCGGCGAGTACGACTTCGAGTACGTCAGCACTGAGGAGCTCGAGAAGCTCATCAAGGAGGAGGCCGACACAGCCAACGACAAGGAGGGCAGCAGACGCCGCCTTGGTTTCGGCTTTAGCTTGGGAGGTTTCGGCCTCCGTCTCAGCAGGGGTGGGTATGGAGGTTGGGGGAGAGGTTACTATAGCGGCTACCGCTACCCCTCCTACTACGGCTGGGGTGGCTATCGCGGTTACAGCTATCGCCCCAGGTACTATGGAGGGTACGGCCGCTGGGGCTGGTGGTGAGATCACCCGCCCACCCACTCGATGATCGAGATGGAGTGAGTGACGGGCGTTTCTTTGTCAATCGCACATGTGTACACGCGCACGAGGGAATGAGCGAGATGTACAGAGAGAGCGGGGGAATTGCACGATCGCAACGGAAGGGATACAGTAGATGTACTAATGGACTGCCAGAGCAAGGCAGGCAGGCAGGTGGATGGCATGGATGTGTGTGGGGCGGTTGGCGCACCCGTCGACCGACGGGTTTTGATGCGCCAAAGGCATCCCAAGTCCCTATCGGTGTTGTATGATGTGATTTTAGTGTTGTCTTCTACGTCCTCTGGCGTCCTCTTGGCATACCTGTCTTTGTGGTGCTACCTGATACGCCAAATGCAAGCATCTATTTGCCCATCTGACAGTCAGGTGTATCGGATGGAATTTTGCAAGTGCCTTGCGTGTCTACGTATACGGAGCGAGAATAGAGCAGAGCAAAGCAAGATCAGCGAACTGTGCACATTGGTCTGCACAAGTGTCTTGGTGATCGTGGCTGTTCTGCAGTGTCACTTTATAGTAGATTTTAGTTGAGGTTTGGAATGGATAGCTGCCGGATGTATACATCGCATGCTGGCGATACAGATATCAATCCTCTGCGCAACGCTCTTGAGCTCCCACACCACCCGCACACCAGTGGAAACAAAAGCCTGCATTTTTCGAGCCGCTTGCTGTGGTGGAATCGATGGTGTTCACTCAGGAGAAGGTCTGCCCTTGCTGTGAAGCCGGCCAAACATGCATTCGACCGACAAAGCGGAAAGCTCGAAGCTGAGCGCGCATCTTTCCCTTATGAGAAGCACGAAGATCAACGAAGCTATCTGCAGTCATGACGATTCCCTTTGGTCTTCAGCAACGAATCACGTTGATGCCATCTCAGCAGGGCGAGTCGGCAGGAGAGCCGCCATATGTCATTGCCATGCGGCTGTCGTGCGACCAATCAACCGCCCTCGCAGCCACGTCAAGCCCAACTCTCGTCCTCTTCTCGCCTCATACGCTCTCCGTCACCGGCCATCTGACGGGCCACACCGCGCCTGTCACTGACGCATGCTGCTTCCAGCAGAACGCCTCTTGTGTGGCCTCGGTGGGCAACGATGGCCACGCCCTGATTTTTGACATACGGAGCTCTGCTCAGCCTGCGGTGCGCTTCAAGGTGGCAGCAAAGACCTCCGAGGAGGTCAACAGCTGCACCGTGGGTGGAGGGGATGGGATGCTGGTGGCGTCGTGCGACAGCAAGGTGGTGGTCTATGACCTACGGGCGGGCAAGAAGCGGACGACGTACGAGTACCACTCTGACGTGGTCAACTGCGTCCGGTTCCATCCTTACCACAGCCACTGGCTGCTCTCCGCAGGTGTCTGTCTGACTGTCTGGCTGGCTGGCTGGATCCATCTCTTTGTGTGGGTGGGTGGGTGTGTTCAGGTGACGACACGAACATCTGTTTCTGCGACACCCAGCAGGACAACACGAGCCAGGAGGGAGGGCCTGAAGACGAAGACTCAGCCATGTTCGGAGAAGAGTTCCTGCAGGTCGGCTCAGCGTACACCAACACGTGCCGACAGTCGGCAGACTGGCAGCCTGCCTGTTCGTGGTTTCCTGTCCTCCTCAGGTGCTTCCCAACGAGCTGAATGTTGCGTCGTTCAACCTGATCGGCAAAGAGGCCTCCCTCCTGTGTGCGGTGTCGACTACCAATGACGTGTCAATATTCGACCTGGACACGTGCAGCCGCCTGGCGCACTTCCAGTCGATAAGGGAGCATCCCCTGCTGCAGTATGAAGACTCAGGGGGCTACGTGGTCGACACCATGTGGGACGAAGTGACAGAGAGGCTGTTCATTCTGGCCGGTGGGCGGACACGCACGAGAGATCGAGGGAGAACGGCACATGCGGGCCGGTGTCCTTTTTGTAGGGTCGTCTCTGGGTCACTTGTTGCTGTTCCATGCCAACCTGACGACATCAACGCCGGCAGCGACGTTCGTCAACAGAGAGACCCAGGGGACGGGCCATCGAGCGGTCGTCAGGTATCCACAGGCTTCACACCAACACCATAGCAGGCTGTCGATTTGCCCGTCCTGTGTTGTTTGTAGGTGTGCGTTGTCGATACCCACCAGTGGCTCTGAGGCTGCCCGTCTGCTCACTGCTGGGGAGGACGGCCTCGTCTGCCAGTGGGCGCAGGTGCAACAAGCACCTATCGTCGAGCTCGATGCACATGTCATCCTCGTGTCTGTGTTGCGATGCAGGATTCGGTTGAGGGCGGTGCGTCATGGTTCAAGTTGCACAATCACAAGGTGCCGAAACCGGGGACGAGCGAGAAGGGGGAGGCGCGCAGACAGCGACGGGCAGCGCCCTACTAGCCTTGTTCTGTCCGGCTGATCGAACACTGGATGTGTACACATTGACATCAATACTGATACGTCGGTGCTAACAGTCCTCTCACACACGCGTTCGCATCATGAAAGAGAGGCTTTCTACGCACAATGGTGACCACCCGCTCGCCACTGCGCCGCTCCACTCTGACATGGGAAGTGAAACGACACACGTACAGTGGGAGAAAGGTCCTTCAAGATATAAAATGTAGGCAGCGATACAGGCAGCCTGTTGTGCATCCACACCCACACCCAGCACCCACATCTCCACGATTACAAAAACCGATCGGCACGAGTCAGTCAGTCAATCAGAGTCAGTCGTCTCGTCCATGGAAACATCCGCTGCTCTGCTCACCCACACAACGACATCCATCGATCAGCCATCAACACACAACACAGCCGCCCAGCCACCCAGGCCCTGACCAACACCATCCATCCATCCACCCACCACCAGCCGACCTCCCGCCCCCGACAAGCACCACCACCACCCGATTTTTCCGGTGCTTGGTCTACGACAATGTAGACAGACGGGGTAGACAGCGACACACCGCACCCACGCACACCGACAGAACGTAATCAACACAAACGGAAAGGGAGTGTCCACACCACCATACGGAAGGACAAAAGGAATGGGACAGAGGAGACTCAAAAGGACGTACATCCATACCATGGACAAAAACAAGAAACAGCCATCCTCCCCCGTCTGTCTACATATGGGCCCGCGGGGGCCTCTTCTCCTGGTGGTGGTGGGTAATGGGTGGTAGGTGGGGTGCTTCTGCGTGGCCGATGGCCTCCAGGAGGTCACTGTTGCCGGTGATGGGTGCTGGTGGTTGTGCCTGGCCTGCAGCAGCAGCAGCAGCTTGGATGGGGGAGGGAATGGGGCCAGGCAGCGAAGAGATCTGCACACGCGGCACGGCACGGTACGCACAGAATGAGCAGGGCATTGTCAGTCAGTGGGTGTGGTGCCTCTACCTTGCTGGGCTGTGGTGCGGCTTGGGGTCTCATTCACGCTCGACGAGTTAGTTACAGTAGTAGAAGAAGGGTTGGTTGAGTGGGGCGGATGGTGAGCGCCTCCGCAGCGGCACACCTGAACGCATCACACCACAACAGGCACACAGCCACCATGGATGAGGTGCCCAGGGTTTCCAGTCTATGGCCCCCACCCATTCACTCACCGTAGCTGATGATGAGGGAATCCAAACAGATGGCTGCTGGCCATCGTGTGTGTGTACCTAGGTCTTCTCACAAACAGCCTGCAGTGGGGAGACCCGACCCACCCACAATGCCCTTATGTGGTGCGAAGGGATCACTCAGCGAGGTCGACACAGCCCGCCGACTCGCCGATTGGCCGTCGTGATGCAGACTTCGCAGTTGGCTGTGCTGTTGGGCTGCACCTCGAACAGAGACCGGCCGTCCTGGAACGACAGAGCCCTCTCACACGGGGCCAAACCGACAAAGCCACCTGCACACATTCAGCCATGGACAGAGCTGCACCAGTGTGTGCGTGTGTGTGCGTGTGTGTGTGTGTGTGTGGTCTGTGCCACCGACCCTGTTGGTGCTTGTTGTCCGTTAGGGTTGAAGCGGAAGAGCTCCCGCCCATCGCCACTGGCGGCCGCCTCGAGAGACGAAGTTAGCGTCACTCTCGCGCCAGCCGTGTGGACGCGGCCGTGCTAGACCTGCAGGCACTGGTCCTCGCCGATGGATGTGATGCCGCTGATGAGTGTGACTGTCGGGAGGCCATAGCCGATCAGGCGGACTGTGTTGATGCCGTACAAGTCGTGGTCGTGCCGACCCATCACCACCTGCATGGCCTTGACGCGCCTCGGTGCGTCGAACAACAGATCCTGACATACCACACAAGACACAACACGACACACATGTCTCAACCGGCCTCTCCGTCTCTCACTCATTGGCTGCTTGCCTGCCTGGTCGAATGATCCCTCGGTCCGTTCCCACGTGCGCATGGGCAGCGCTATCTCGTACTCGCAGGTCGCCGGTCTCTCTGTGCGGCGTGGGGTCTTGTCCTCTCTCATTGGCGGCGGCAAACACGCGTCAGCCCAGCACTCAGGCGGATCCCGCCCGGTAGCTGACAATCGACACGGCATCGAACGCACCTGGTAGACCCGCCCGATGACGGCCATGGTGTCGGGCGAAAGGATGGGGAAGTCCTCCACCCACTGAGTTGCTGATACCCAGACCCACCTCGCCGTGACTGTTGACCGTCACGTGGGAGTCCAAGCGGCCGGGGCTGGGCGGGGCTGACGCACCTGCCTTGGCGACTCAGTGCTGTGGAGAGACGGCCACGTCGAGAGGTCTTGACGGCGCACTTGCCCTCGAAGGTGAAGTACTCCAGCCGCAAACCCAGCATTTGGTCAGCCTGGACCCAAGACCGTCTTGACGCCAATCCTGAGTGAGCGAGCAACGGACAACGCGCACACATATCCACACACACATATACAGACAGACATGGGTTGGATGCGTGGCTCTTTGCACTGCTCTGCACGTGTTGTGTTGTGTTGTGTTGTGTTGTGTTGTGTGTGGGTCCCCGGGGGTTTGGACGCTTACTCTTGAATGTATCTGGTCAGTAGCTTCCACACACCCATGGCTTTGTCGATGGAATGGACGCCATTTCCAGCTCATGGTTCTCACGGATCTTATCCACACCAACGATGCAGCCGCTGCTGCGACGCCCACCACCTCTACCTCCTGCCCGCACTCTCGAGGGGCGCAGTAGGTCTGCACTGATGCCGCTGGTCGGAGGCCGAATGGTGCGCCGAGAGAGGGGAGGAGGTAGGGGGGCTGCTGAGTGTCTCCCTTGGTGGTAGAGCTGGCCTTGGTGTGTGGGCTGCTGCGACATGGCACGCGGCTCGGCATCTGCAGCGCGGAGACGGCACTCCTGCGGCCTGACACGAACCCACGACCACCTGCGACAGCCATGAGAACATGACAAGAAATGAGAGATGACCTCCGCCGTGTGTATGTGTGTATGTGTGGGTGGTCAGGTAAGGTACCTCTGTTCGATACTATGACGGCCCTCATCTCCCATCCAGATCAACACGCCGGACGTTGGGCTTCTCCCCGTCATCCACACCCACACCCACAGCAACACCAACCTGGCCCTCGTCTCCATCCAGAACCAAGACCCCCAGCCATTCGCCCACCACCCACCGTACACAGCAGGCAGCCCTCCATTAGTCATGAGCCCGCACATCCGCCCACTCACTCATAATTGCACCTCACGCCAGATCAGAGAGACAGAATAGCCTTGGCAGCCTTATCAGAAAGACAGATCAGAGAGACAGAGAGAAAGAGAGACAGATCAGAGAGACAGAATGGTCGTGCAGTTGTGGCGGCACAGAACAGCAAATTCTGATACACAAATGGATGGAGACATGGATGGCATGTGCGGCATGTAGTCTGTGTATTATGCTGACGTACCGAGTGCGGGGTATTCCCATTCGATGATGATCCTGTCAAGCCTCGCCGGCTCCCCCAGGTCGATGTCGAATGTGACATGGGTGGGGGGCACGGGCGGCCCGCTCTCGTCAACAATGGGCAACACGGATTGATGAAAGGACCGACATGACGGCAAGGCGTCCCCAACTGCACCAAACACATTTGCACACACAGAGGATTGGACACAGAGATGACCATTTTCTACATCAGACGGCAAATTACCTGGGCCGCTCCCATTTCTTGACGCGGGCGCGCAGAAAATGAGAGTAAAAGACCTCGAGATATAAAATGCAGACAGCAATTAGGCCACCAGGCCCTATCGACAGAAACAAAGAGACATTTGATATGAGGCCAAGGTAATGTCCCTTCTGTCTCATGTGCTTACCGCCTTTCGGTGGCCATGAGAGGGACTTGTGGCAGCTTGCGGTCACCAGCCTGACCCACACCCACAGAAACACCAACCTGACTCTCGTCTCCATCCAGAACAAGACCCCCAGCCATCCGCCCACCACCCACCGTGCACAGCAGGCAGCCTTCCATTAGTCATGAGCCCGCACATCCGCCCACTCACTCATAATTGCACCCCACGCCGTATCAGAGAAGAGACAGAATGGCTCGTGGCGACAGTATCAGAGAAGCTTTATGCATCCCCCATCGGATATATGACCCCCGCCCACTCCTTCACCAGCAGCACCAGCACCTTCACCGCCGCCTCCGCCGACTCGGTCGTCCGCCGCTCGGCCCGCTCGTTCATCACCAGCTCCGCCACCACGATGGCCGCTGCGTCAGTCAGGCTGAAGCGCTCCGGCCTCTTCTGGAGCTCCAGCAAGCGCCTGACGACACCCTCGACGTCCACGGCCTGCTGAGGTGGTGGTGCGAGGGAGGGGCGTCTTGGGTCTGTGGGGCTGTTGGGTCGGTGGGAGGGGGGAAGACCTGTTGGCGTCTTTCTTCGCGGATTTTGTGCAGACGGTTGATCTCCCGCCTGAGGTCAGCCAGCCGCTTATCCAGCAGCTGCAACTCGTCAATGCCCTCGTCACGCTTCTTCTCAGTGGCCCACACGGCGCGCCTCTGCCACTCGTCCGGGGGGATGGGGATGATGTTGGGATTCTCCGCCGTCTGCTGTTGGGTGCCGATGATGGCCTCGTCAAACGTGACGGCTGGCAGGTCCCTCTTGACGTCTGGCAGGATCTGGTGGGGGTACAGAAATGACAGAGCCATGCCGCCCACCGTCCACAGGTCGACGTCGGGCTGCCAGCCGGGGTAGCCCCAGTGTTTCTGCGCCCACTCGCCGACTGCCGTGGGATTGGTGGGGGGGCCGTTGGGTGTGCTCGAGGGGTCGATGACGGCCTTGATGTGGGGCGGGGCGGAGGTGAGTGTGTTCATGATGTGTGTCTCGTACGGCACCGCCAGCGTCTTGCCCCCCCTCGTCACCAGACTGCCCCTCTCCTGCCCAGCGGCGTCGATAAAGGTGGGCACCGGCACCACCACCTGCCGACTGCCCCCGCGCACCACCGACGCGTTGACCTTGACGAATCCGACGAGGATATTGTCGAAAGTCGCGTCGGTGGCGACGTAGGTGGAGCAGATCGGCAGCTCCTCGGCCGTCTGGACCGCGCTGGTGCTGGAGGTCATGCTGCCGACGGCCTTGGCAACACTAAACACAGGCACCTGAACCACACAAACACACACACATACAAACACAATACACCCATGGGTGAGCTCACTCTTTACGCCAATCCGACTGTCTGTCTCACCTTGTGGATTTGCCCTGTCTGTCTGTCTGTCTGTCTGTCTGTGTCTCTCACCTTATGCATTGCGTTGGTCTTCATCAGCAGGTCTATGACGCCGAAAACGGCACCCACCTGCTTCTTCCCCATCTTCTTCATTATGGTCTTCCTGATCTCCTTGCCGTTGGCCATCTGGATGCCCGCCTCCTGCGCCGCTGTCGGCTGAGCTCCGCTGTCCAGCAGACGCAGCGCCGACACCTCGCCAGGCGGATACAGCTGGACCCGCAGCGCAAGAAAGCTGCCGAGGGGCTGGCGTCGGGCGTCGTACTGGCCGTCGATGTTGCCAACGACAGCGACGCCGTCCTGGCCGGGCTGCTGCTTGGGCGGCGCCTCCCCCTCCCCACTCGCAATGTACAGCGAGTAGATCGGTCCCCCCATGGTGTAGAGCCCCTGCGCCTGCCGATACTCGCCCGCGAAGGCCTCCTCTAGGGCCTCGCGGACGGCGGACGGCACCGCGCCCTTCTTGCGGGCGAGCTCGGGGAGGGCAGGGGGCGGCTGGGCGGTGGGGGGACGGCTCTTCTCCGGATGCTGAGTGGTCAGCAGGTATAGGAATGCGGGCTCGACACTCCTGGACAACCTGCAACCAAACGAGCAATCCACACAGTGAGTTACAGGGCAGACCGAATGAGATGTGCAGGACGATGTGGCACTCTCTGTGTGTGGCATTACATACCTGCTGTGGTCGTCCTGGTCGCCTCGAGGGGCCGACGCGCCCTCCCCACGACAGCTATCAGGTGCCTCCTCGGCAGGGCCAGGGGGACTCTCAAAACACGGGGCAGCGGCTACATTCTCGGCCTCCGTCTCCTCCTCTCTGCCGGGGAGTAATTCTGAATGAGTCACGCACACATCACAAAACAGACAGACGAACAGGCAGGACGATTTGATGAGCGCTTCTTCATTTGGTCGGTCGGCAGGCATGTGGTTCGCTTACAGTTGTCGGGTTTCTGATCTGTGTTGAGGTTGCCGACCTTGTGCAACTCCTCGACGCTAGAAATGAAAGTACAAGACCTCGAGATATAAAATGCAGGCAGCAATAAGGCCACCAGGCCCTATCGACAGAAACAAAGAGACACATGATATGAGGCCAAGGTAATGTCCCTTCTGTCTCATGTGCTTACCGCGCCCGCCGGGGAAATGGAGGAGGGGGGATCCATCCACCACACCCAGCACCCAGCAGCACACCACATGGGCTCGGGGGCCAGGATAAACAACCCGAACCCCAAGGCCATTGCTTCAACAGCAGCACTAGCACCTTGACCGCCGCCGCCGCCGACTCGGTCGTTGCCGCTCGGCCCGCTCGTGCATCACCAGCTCCGCCACCACGATGGCCGCCGCGTCAGTCAGGCTGAAGCTCCCCGACTTCTTCTGGAGCTCCAGCAACGGCGTGACGACACCCTCGACGTCCACGGCCTGCTGGGGGTGGTGGTGCGAGGGAGGGGCGTCTTGGGTCTGTGGGGCTGTTGGGCTGATGGGAGGGGGGGAGACGTGTTGGTGTCTGTCGGGATTGATTTCGTGCAGATGGTTGATCGACCGCCTTAGGGTATCCAGCCGCCTATCCAGCAGCTGCAACTCGTCGATGCCCTCCTCGTCAGGCTTCCTTTCGGTGGCCCACACGGCGCGCCTCTGCCACTGGTCCGGGGGGATGGGGATGATGTTGGGGTGCTCCGCCGTCTGCTGTTGGGTGCCGATGACGGCCTCGTCAAACGTGACGGCTGGCAGGTCCCTCTTGACGTCGGGCAGGATCTGGTGGGGGTACAGAAATGACAGAGCCGTGCCGCCCACCGTCCACAGGTCGACGTCGGGCTGCCAGCCGGGGTAGCCCCAGTGTTTCTGCGCCCACTCGCCGACTGCCGTGGGAGTGGTGGGGGGGCCGTTGGGTGTGCTCGAGGGGTCGATGACGGCCTTGATGTGGGGCGGGGCGGAGGTGAGTGTGTTCATGATGTGTGTCTCGTACGGCACCGCCAGCGTGTTGCCCCCCCTCGTCACCAGACTGCCCCTCTCCTGCCCAGCGGCGTCGATCACGCCATCTTGACCCTGCTGCTGATTGAGCACTGCAGGGGACACCACAGCACACACAAAATGTACCGCAGAGCTGAACATTGACCTCAACAGGCCTATAGTTCTTCCCTACCTTTCTGATACGGCTCGAAACACTTTTGGCACTTCAGCTGCGCGCCGTTATCAAATGAGAAGTCGACAAATATAAAATGTAGGCAGAGATCGGACCTGCACATCGACACAAAGAGACACGATCAGAGTGGTCGCTGCGCTGATGTCTCAGTTTGTTTCCTCACGCACACATTCGTCCGCCCCGCGTCACCAAACTGCCCCTCTCCTGCCCGGCGGCATCGACAAAGGTGGGCACCGGCACCACCACCTGCCGACTGCCCCCGCGCACCACCGACGCGTTGACCTTGACAAATCCGACGAGGATATTGTCGGTGCCACGCTCATGCACCCCGTCAACCACCACGTGCGTCTAGCGGCTGTGGTCGTCGCCCGTCGCCGAGGCACTCGCACTTCCCTGGCTCTCCTTCATCGCACCCACGATGCGGCGCAACAAGATGCCTGCATGCAGATCCAGAAGCAACACGCAGTGGTGTGTGTCGGTGCGGGAGTGAGTGAGTGAGTGAGTGTGGCCCATTCCCTTTGCCTACCGCTGGTGCAGAAGAGGATTTTGGTGTGTTTTGATGCGTTGATGTTTTCCTGTCCGATCTGCCACCCCACCAGGCCGCCCACCTGGTGCTGGCCGTCCTTGGACAAACCCCGCGTCATGCACTCGTACGCGACACGCCTGACATACACATGGATGGATGCTGGCTTTTGCTCGTGTCTTGTGTGTGTGTCGGTGTGGGTGCGCACTTTGCGACGCTTGTGGCTGCGAGTCGGCGTGGCTGCGACACGATAATGCGGACGTCACGGCTCGTCTGCAGGGCCTCACGCAAAATGAACTGGGGAAGCTGCACACACTCACACAGGGAGGGAGGGAGGGAGAGGAGAGACGGACCAATACAGTGGGTTGGTGTTTGTGTTGTGGGTTTGGGTGTGGTTGACGGACCTGTGTGGTTTTGCCGCTGCCAGTGGCGCCGTGCAGGACGATGCACTGGTGGTCTCGCAGTGCATCGATGAACGTCTCGTGGTGCGCGTGGACCGGCAGAATGGGAAGCCCAAACTCGCTGTGACACAACGCACACGACACACCACACATACCACATCACATCCGTCCACCCTGTCCGTCAGTCCGATGGCATTGCGTCGTGATGGC